ATCGAGATTAAGATTATAAAATGCATTAGCTCTGCAAATCCATGCTAGTTATCCTGTCAAGCATCATAATTAAAAGCATGCCAAGCAGGAAATCATTATTGCACACCTAACCACGTTACAAGCCTGAGTGGGTCTAAGCCACTAGAATGCCCGGGGGCTTACTTGAGTTGGTTGTGGTATGGATGGTAATAAATTGTCATGAGGCCCATTGATGAGCCAAGAAATGGAGGTTCCGGGTTGCTTGGAAGCCTCGGGACTCAAGCCTATTTCTTAGGCCCAAACATGTAGGTGAGCACAAAAGAGGAAATAGTTCATTGCCTCAGCCAAAATAGCCCATTAACTTAACCAAATTAGCCCAATACCTCAACAAAATAGGCCAACACTTGTTGAGGTTAGCCTATTTATTTTGATAAACCAACTCATTGTTCTAGAAGGCCCATATAACTAAAATAAATACCTACAAAATCCTCAGCACCTAGCTGAAAAACAAAAGCCACGAAGGAAGCAAGGATGTCCACGTACGCAGAGCTGCTGGGAGGCTCCAGCACATAGGAAGGAACAAGTTTCAAGCAAAAAAATCCGAAGAACCAAGGGATATTAGCGAGCAAGCTGCCAAGAGGAAAGGCACCCTTCGAACCAGCATGTATATCCATTTGCTTTCCTTCACCAGATCTAGCCATGGAATGAGGAAGGAAAGAAAAAAGGAAATAGCTGAGAATGGGAGTCTCTCACTGAAACAGCTGCAGGAAAGGGCTTTGAGCTCTAAAAAATCCCTGATTTTGTGCAAATGGGCAAAGGAAATTTCACCAAGATGAGAAAAGTCAAGGGAGGAAATGAGGAATGGAGAAAGGAAGGGAAAGATTTGGCCAAATTGGATAGAAATAATTAAGGTTTCTTGGAAAATGATAGCTTCCAGCGGCTATAAAAGAGGCATCTTCTACCCAACAAGCGACAACCACATCCAGAGAGCAAACTTCCTCTTTTACCTCCAAAACCAAGCAATTTCGTGCTCAGTTCACCCTTCTCCCCCTTGTTTTTCTCTTGGAAGATTGTTTTGATATTTGACAGAACCTCTGTCGAGCTGCCGGAAAAACACTTAAGCCACCCATTGCCTAGCCTCTCTCCACTTCTCAGCCAAAACCTCTGATAATTCTTTCCTCCTTTTCCTTAGAACCCTTGTTTTTCATAGAAACTCACAGCTCTTTCCCTTTAAGGCTAAACTCATGAAAACTTTGCTCTCATGCCACAAGCCTCTCATGCCAAGCTAAGATTCTACCTGTAAGCACTAAGAATTCATCTGCAAGCTGTTGTTATTTTTGTTGGTGAAGGTAACCAAGGTGTTTTCTAAGGCCCTAGTGTCCTTTCGAGGCATTCTTGGGGTTTGATTTTTGAACTCAGGCACATGGGATATTTTCATCAGTTCGCTCCTTACGGTAGCCCAGCCCATTTGTAGTTGCCATAAGAAAAATGCCCCTATAACTTGGCTTGAGAAGCTTGTGGTATGAAAGCTAAGCATTCATGAGTTTAGCATGAGAGAGAGAAAGACCAGATTTTCTACAAGAAACAGATGTTTAAAGCAAAGGATTTCGTGAGAATTTGCTGAGGAGAGAGAGAGAGAGATATATATATATATATATACAGAGATTAGGGTGGAAGAATGGGTGCTTTGGATAATTTTCCGGCAGCTTGACGAAAGCTTCGTCAGGCTTTGGAATAGCTTGCCAAAAGAGAAAATGGAAATAGATGAAGGAATATGGCTTGAAATTGAAGGGTTCCAGGGATGAGAGGTGATGCCTGCTCTCTCTGGATGTGGTTGCTTGCCTTCAATTAGTTTGGAATATGAGGAAAAATGGAAAGAAATGGAATAATATAGTTGGAAATTAGAGGGTTCCAGTAGTGAGAGAAGATGCTTGCTCTCCCTGGATCTCTTCTTTTGCTGGATAGAAATTGCATCTTTTTATAGGCGCTGGAAACCTCCAATTTTATCAAGTCCTTCTTCATTTTTCCTCACTTTCTTCCATTCAATCCTCTTTAGTGAAATCTCCCTAACCCTAGCACATAGGAGCAGAGCTTTTTGGGGTTCCAAAACTTTCCTGCTATTGTTGGACTCCTCCATCTGGGTGAGGCGCCTCTTGCTTTTCCTTCTTGTTTTCTCACCAGAGCTTGCAAATGAAAGAATGGGTAAGGGTGCTGGTCAAAAGGTGATTTACTTCTAGCAACCTGTGCATATAGGTTTGCCTTGGTTTTGACAAGGTGCTGGATATTTTAACTGATGTAGGATATTTCCAAGTGTTATGGACTATGGCTATTGGATATTTTCTAAGATGTTTGAGCCTTTTCTTAAGGTGATGGGCTATTGGGTTTCTCTCTCATGCTTACCCATATGTTTGGGCTCAAGGAATGGGCTTAAGTTTTGGTGCTCCCAAGCAGCCCAAAACTTCCACTCCTTGGACCATCAATAGGCCTTGTGAATACTCGTAACCATCCATACAACAACCCGCTCAGTAAGCCCCAGGCATTGGCGTGGCTTGGGGCCATTTAAGCTTGTAGCGTGGCTTTGTGCAAAAATAAGGATTTTCCACTTAGCGTGGTGTGTTATTTGACGTGCTTATGCTCGAGCTTTGTCATTTTGTAAGGGCTATGGCTGGACCAAAATGGTGCTTGACGGGATAATGAGCATGGGTTCATAGAACCAGTACATTTTACGGGCTTGTTATGAACTTTTTACTTGGCATGTTGCATATTTACTTGGCGTGGCACTTGTGCAAGCTCATATGACAAACTCTTGCGTACCCAAGTCGAGTTTCTTTCCAAGTTAGGCGTCGTACTGAGCTAGAAATAGGTTTGGGCCCAGCCTTGGATTTTTTGGGCCTCAACAATTATTAATAAATAAAAAATTTAAATAAGATTTATTTATAAATAAATAAGTTAATTTCAATCTGTTGTTTGGTGCAAGAATGAATAAGACATGACTCAAAACCTAGCCAGTCCAAACCAGCCAAATCCAATGCTTCAAAGCCCATCATAACCAGTTCAAGCCAACCCACCAAACAGGGCCTTAAAGTTTTAAGCGAGGCTCAGTTAACCAGACGACATGTCATCTGAAGGGTCGTTTACTTGACACAGACTCTCCAAATTCCGCTGGTCCGTTTCGAGTGCATTTTCATCTGTTTTTCTTTTCTTATCTTCTTCTTCTTCTTCTCTCATCTCTGTTTCCACAAACTTCAATGCGAAAACATCCCCAAGAAAACCCACCAATATTCAAATCCCGTTTAAAAAAGATCCATTCTTTCTCGCCATTGTTTTTGTGGTTAGTCCCTTCTCTTGTTACTCACTCATTCTTTGTTTCTCAGGAAAATCATATTGGGAAGGTAACGTAGGTAAAGGAAAATGCTCTCGGATCAGAACCTTTTTTCTTCTCCTTCCCGTTAAAATAAGCAAATGGGAACAAATTTGTTGGTGTAGCCATGTGCACTCAAAAATTTGAGGTAATCTGTTTTCGCAGCATCATATACCAAACTAGGATATGGAACCCCAATAGGGTTTATCTGGCCAGCTCTGTACGCAAATTCGGCATCAGAATTAAGTTTGGCACTCATGGGTTTAGCTGGAAAAAAAAAATTGTTGGAATCATTTGTCGTACAACCCCAATGAAGTTTATTTAAGCATAAACAAGAACAGCAAATGACCCACCAGTGTAATGGTTTGGAGCAAATGCCCCTTCTTAGGAAAGATCTTGGGTTCGAGTCCTAGCATCCGTATAGTATGTGTGAGTTTTAGTATGTTATCGCCCCTCTCAATAGAAGATGTCCTAAAAATAACAAAACAACAACAACAACGAGGGATGGGATTTGCATGTGATCACTCCAAACAAGTATTGATCCTCAGTAATGCAATTTGCTTTTTCTTATTCTTACATCAATACAGGATTACATGATCCATGCACCACTTAATATATAGCATAGACAACAATGGGGCTCCTGACCTGGAAAGTACCATCATCCCACACCAGAGAAGCAGAGACACTGGATTTGTGATGAATTGACCCTTTTACTGTGACCTGAAAGGATAGCTTCTGCCCGAGAGATGAGAATGATAGAATGCTTGGATTAACTTTGATTTCAAGTCCTTTCGTTGCACCGATCACTTTAGCTTTATATGTGGACCTTGGTGATCCAACATTTGTGGCTGTCCTATTGAAAACCCCACTGATGGAGTTTGGATTCGAGGAGGAAAGTGCAAAAGAAGGATAATTCAAATTATCACTGAGTGCTCCATAATTAGTTTTTGATGAGCAGCTACTCTTGTGCCCGATAATAGATTGCAATAATTTGGTACTGTAGCCTTGTGCACATAAAAATTCTATGTAGTCCAGTTCAGTAGCATCGTATACCAAACCAGGATATGGAGCCCTAATAGGGTCAATTTGGCCAGCTCCATATGCAAATTCGGCTTCAGGGTTAAGATCGGGACTCAGGGGTTTAGCTGCAAAATCGTTACAAATAATCCAAGATATACGTGGTTAGGCCATACTAAAATTGTACGTAATTAAAATAATTGTTCTCTCATAATAACTGATCACGTTTATACACAGCCCTACCGGTGGTAATAAGAGCGGATTGGATAGCAGCAGGAGACCAATTGGGGTGAAATGATTTGACGTATGCAGCTACCCCCGTGGCATGTGGGCAAGCCATTGATGTCCCTGAGATTACATTGTATGATGCTACTCTGTCATCTCCTGGATAATCCGAAACCGGGGCAATTGGAGGCCATGCTGCCAAAATAGAAGCTCCCGGAGCAGCTATATCTGGCTGCAACATAACAAGGAGAAAAATTAAGGAGAGATGAAGTGCTGCAGCCTAGCTAGCTAATTATATATAAAATAAAACAGTCTTGAGTGTTCATCAAGTTCCAAGCAATTACGTACGTACCTTGAGAATGTTCGGAGTGACTGGATTAGGACCCCTTGATGAGAAGGATGGCACATACGGGGACACTGTGTCAATATCCTCAGTACTTTTAAAAATTGTTGCAGTTGGGTTCCTACAAATTAATCATTACAATATTCAAAATTTATTTGTGTGTACCTTGTTCAGTTAATGTAATAGTAAATGCGGTTACCACTATCCAAACCAAGGCAAGAGGCAGGCATGGGAAGAGGGTCAAGCACATCTGCAACAGGTCGGCTTTGCAAAATAACTCCAACTGCACCTGCAGAATAGGCCCCATACCCAGTCGTCCCATCGCAAAGAACAATCTTGCCCTTCACCAAATTGTGGTCTATCGTGCCTGGTTCGCATGTCCTGTACGGTATAATTGTATTTACTTAGATGTAGACTCGTCGTAGCCTGCTGTCCTATTGGGTGCGTCTCCAGCAAATATTAGAGGATAGAACTTGCCCTTGAGGTCAAATGTGTTTGTTACAATTCCCTATACACGCCAATGAAGCAAATTAATATAATTCAATTGCTTAATTGAGGGCAGGTTAATTAGCTATAGGTTCTATTAATTGTACCTCATAGATTTTTTGGTTACCCAATTGAACCTTGGTAACAAACTCCCGATCTATGGTGCTTGCAGCCACAGAAAGACACCATGGCGCAAAGTTTGCGATGGTCTTGGGGCGTGGACCGTCGTTCCCAACAGCAGTGGAAGTCAGAATTCCTTTTCTTAAAGCGTGAAAGGCTCCAATGGAAATTGAGTCCCTGAAATAATCGACCGGAGACATTGGTCAGAGGGAGACAGATAGTATGTCGACACCATCCGCGATCGCATCTTCAAATGCCGCTAGAATATCATTGTCACTACAATCACTCGCCCAACATACTTTGTACACCGCAATACGTGCTGATGGGACCCCTCCTCTTGCTCTCCCCAACCCCAAACCAAATAGGCTTGCTTTGCTAACTAAGCTTCCTGCCGCCGTTGATGCAGTGTGGGTTCCATGACCATCCGAGTCTCGTGGAGACTTAATGTCACCTTTGACGAAGGGTTCACTATTGCGGTAATACCGTGCTCCAATGATTTTACTGTTTCAACCATAGCAACAATACGTCAATCAATTATCCCATAAAACGGATAATTATTACATTTATTATCTAGCAACATGACAGGTCTAGTATATTAGCCTTACTTGTTGCAAGTAAAATTGGATGAGCCTTGGCATGTGCCTTTCCATTTTTTGGGCGGTGGACTGAACCAAGCATCACTGAAGCTGGCAGATTCCGGCCAAACTCCAGAATCGATCATCCCAACAATGATATCGCTTTCAACAGTGCTTCTCTTCACGTTTTCATGAAACCCGATGAAGTTCCATGACCTTCTTGTGTGGAGCTTCTTCTTCCCACTAGGGAAAACAGACACCACACCAGCCATTCCTATACACACACACACACACACACACACACACACACAAGCTTCCAGTTAGATATAAATTTATAATGGTCAGTACTTTTTCTGCAAATTGGAAAGAAAGCTAGATCCACAACCAGCCATTTTCTGAGCTCTTCCTCTGTTAGCTTTGCAGCAAAGCCATTGAAGCTTCTCTTGTAGCTGTGCAGTAGGAGAGGTTCTTGTGCAATATTGCTGAACATAAACTAACTCAAGTTAGGAATTATAGTTTACTAAACTGCAAATCATATCCTTGTAATGTTAATTAGTTATTTAATTGTCACCAGTTAACTCATTTAGAAAACTCGTTAATCCTAACAAAAAAAGGCAGTAAACTTATATTATATATGTGATAATTAACCTGCTGCCAACTACGTTTTGAAGCATGTTTACATGAAGAGGCAATGTGGTAGCGGTGGAAATGTCGAGCTTTGGCTTGTCCCCCATGTACACAATATAAACCTGCGATTAATATATTCGTAATTAACGTTATTAAGGATCCGTTTGATAACTGTTTCAACTTTAGCTTTTAATTTTTATTTTTTTGTGCTCGACTATAGAGGAGAATGGGAGTGAGGATGAGATTGAGAGAGAAGATGAGAGGGAGGAGTAACAAAAGTGAAAACAATATTTGAAATAGATTTCAGTTTTTAGTTAATTTTTTTTTTCACTTTTATTACTCCTCCCTCCCATTCTCTCCTCCATGGCCGGTCCTGAGTTTTCAAAGGCCCAGGGCGAAAATCTAAAGTGTGCCCTACACACATTAATCACTAACATTGGTATACTTCTTGTTTTATCAACTAAGCATTGGTTTTTTTGAGTAAGTATTTATTCCAAAATATTTTTAGATTTTGAGCAATGTCTTCCATATTCCTAACTAATGAAAACAAATGTCCAACTATAAATACCATACCAGTGAGTCAAAGAATTTCAAAAATGCAAGTCAAGCCAATATCAAAGAATTTCTTTTAAACTCTCGTCATGGATCCGTTGTTCCAAAATTTCAGATTCATCTCAATATCCTATTCCTAAATTATGGAAAACAATATCTATTTAATTTTGATTCATCTTACAAGAACAATAGGAAATCACCCAGGTTATTTTTGTAAAGGAACAATTCCAAGAGGAAAGCAATGTTTCAAATACAAGAATAGTACATATATTAGTGATTCAAAGAATTCAAATGAATAAATCCAAGAAAACCCCATAATTTAAATGACTTAGAAGAGGAATCGATAGAGAAAAAAAAAGCAAATCACACATGGTTATTTTTTGCGAAGGAGGAAACCGAAGAGTAAAACATAAATAAACTTTTCATCATCGGCGTCAGGGAGAAATTCAATAAGAGTTCATGTCACTGGTAGATTGAGAGGAGATAGGATAGGAGGAGGTCAAACGATGTGAAAAATCTACAAACAAATTAATTTAAAAAAATTATATTTTCCTTTTCATTTGATGTCAAATCATGAAAAATTACCTTCAATTGATTTCTACAATGACCAATTTTGCACTGAACAAAAGCCCACACTTTGGATTTTGGAATCTCCCCAATCTATCAATAGAAAAATTAATTTAGGGATTCATAATTCTGGAACTAGTATGAGGGGCTTAGATGAGATGAAGAAGAATAGAAGAGATCGTCGTTCTGAATGCCATTTTTTTGTTTTTCTCTCAAAAATATTAAATCAATTTATAATAATATAATATAACACTTATTATATAAATAAAAAATTTGGGGCCCCCTTGAATAATGGGCCCAGGGCAATCGCACTGACTGCCCCTGGTCAGGGCCGAGACTGCTCTCCACTCAGCTTCCCACTCAATCTCATCTCCACTCTCATTCTCACTTTCATTCTCCCTCTTTTTCCTCTATACTTTGGCACAAAAAATGAAAACTAAAAACTAAAATTGAAATTGTTATCAAATGGGCCCTAAGTATATAGAAGCCAATTTTAAACTACATATATGAGAATTCCATGCCTTTCTGCTATCCGGATGAGCAGCAGAATGAGTGACATCTACTAGCAGAGTACCTGTGAGGCTGAGAAGGAGAAACCACACTACAAGGAAAAACCCTTTCTGCGACCATGGAACTAAATCCATTATGGGGGTCTCACTACAAAACCTAGAAAACGTACTACTTGGAAAAGATGGGGCAAGCTCATCCAAGAACGTCATGTCTTTATACTAAGAAGTAGCCATGCGTTTCACATGTGTTTGCTTCGATCCTAGCCGTGCATTACAAATCTAATGAAACCGTACATTTGATCCAACCCATATCCAAAAGTGCACTACTCTTTTGTTCACACACCTTTTGAATTTGTCATGTACAGTTAAGAACCGGTAGAGGATCCAAATCCGAAATTTTGTGATCAAAGTCTTCCATGCACTCACACCATATCTTCCTTACATTAATTATACCACTTCTTTAGTGTTGGATTCCATATTTGAAGCACCTGACTTTACTCAAATACCGAAGATTGATTGCATTTGGCACAACATAAAGCAAAAAAGCATGCACTTCTAATAGAACGTGTTTTGGTATTGACTATTTAGCTCAAAATATTTAGTTTTCAAAAGAGAAAAACAAGACAGAAAGAAGCTAGCTTTGACTTACCGGAAATTGATGGTTGTAAGCTTTCCAAAACTAACCTAAACCCTTTTCAAACTCCGCACAGATATTCCAAAAACATTTCACATGTTTGCTTCGATCCTAGCCGTGTATTACAAATCCAACATTTGATTTCAAGCTCTTCCAAAAATGCATTACTTGCTTTTTTGTTCATGCAGTTTTGAATTTGTGATACACGATTAAGATTAAAAGAGAAGTAAATGAGAAGCTTGTTAAGAATTTAAAGTAAAAAATCTGAATCCGTAGTTATTTATTTCATTCTAAATTAAGTAAGCTTTTGATCATGCTCTTTCATGCACTCACACCGTCATCTTCCTTGACCATAACACTTTTTAGAGGCTGTCTGAAAAGCACTTCTTCAAAAGTGTTAGAGGCTGTTAATTTTTGGGGTATTTGATTATTTGTTAAAGTACTTTTATCCATCATATAGCTAAAAATATAGTTTTTCAAAAAAGAAAAGCTCAGCTTGACTTAGGTGGGCACTGATTGATTTAAAGTTTATTTATTGTAGTATCTTTCGAAATTTCGGTCAAGTCTCGCTTCACCTCTCAAAATTAAAGTAACCCCTTGATCATAATTTTGTGTTTCCCTACCGTTAACGCCGTTCACAATGATAATGGAACCACTAGTGCTTCTCAACTCAACCACACCACTACCAAAAAGCAAAAGCACTTTCGCAGACACTCAAGACTACTCTCCTATCCCATTTAGATATTGGATTGGAATTTTCTGTCTATGGCCATCAGTGGCATATCCAAACTTTCGTTCATTTGGGGGCTTAAAAAAATTCAACTAACATATAATCAAACAAAAAATATTTCAAACTTTGAATATTAATAGCATTGTCTAATAAGTAAATTTATAATTGTCCTCGACGACTTTTCATATTCTAAAAACGTTGCTTAATCTCTGTTGCTTGATTTAAACCTTTCCTACTAGAAAGCTCCCCATTGGTCAATGCTTCAACTACTTTGAGAGCTTGCTTATCCCGAAGAATGTCACGACGCTTCGATGATGCTCCAACAATATTTACCACATTAAAAACTAAGGTGAAGAAAGCACCTATGAGACTGTGTTTTTTTGCCAAACCCACAATAGCCAACTGAAGTTGATGTGCAAAACAGTTAACATAGTAAGCAAACTCATTCTCCCTCATGATGAGTGTCTTCAGACCGTTGAACTCTCCACTCATGTTACTGGCCCCATCATAACCTTGACCTCGTAATCTGCACATACTCAATTTATTTCTAGAAAATAATGCATCAATACTTGCTTTAAGCGACTCAGTTGTGGTACTTGTAACATGTTCAATACCTATGAATCGTTCAATCACACATCCTTTCTTGTCTACATAATGAAACATAACAACCATCCGCTCCTTTACTGGTACATCACGAGATTCATCAACTAAAATAGAAAAGAATGCATCATCCATATCTCTAATAATAGCATCAGTTGTTTCAACTACTACAGCATTTACAATGTCTTTCTGAATCTTAGGTGAAGTTATTTTGAGGTTTTCATGAGCATTTTTCAAAGCAAGGGCTCTAACTTCCTCATTGTGATCAACAAGAAATTGCAAAAGCTCAAGAAAATTACCTTGGTTGCTTGAATCCTTAGACTCATTGTGGCCACGAAAGGCAAGACTTTGTCGTAGAAGAAATCTAATACAATCAATAGATGCATTCAATCTGATTCTGTAGTCAATTCGAGATTCATGTGAGTGCTTATGGAAAACATTTTCAATATGTTGTTTTTCATTCATTAAGGCTTGACATTTTTTCAGAGCTTGGTTATGAGAACTGTTGAGACCTCCAACATGAACTTGAAATCTTTCCTTTTTCTTCCAATTTGAAAAACGTGTACCAAAAATGACTCCATTATCATAAGCATAAATATGGAGTTGTGACTTAATAACAACGTAACTGACAACTGACTATTTCCTTCATTAGTAGAATTAACTATTGTAATTGAAATACTATTGTAACTCCCTAATACTCCCTTGCCAATCGCGCGCGCAGCATAAGATCTGGGCTTCTCAATATGAGTTTGAGAATGGGCTTAATCTTATTGCACGTGATAGTTGTACCCAAGCAACATCAGAAAATTTGGACCCAAAAAGAAAACATCTGAAAAAATGCCATGATCTAGAACTATTGCATTGCATTGCATTGCATTGCATGCCTCAATATTTTTATGCCAAGGTATCCTAAAATTGTAGAGGTTTTTATTTTCCATATTAATTATTTTTTAAAAAATACTTTATAAATATTTTATTGTAATTAAGGATACAAGTGAGTTGTGCCATATTATTATTTAAAGGATTTTTCAACCGTCTACTGGAAGAACCACATTACTAAAATTTCAAAATAATCGAATACTTAGTTTTTAATATTGAAAATATGAGTAAAGGCTTATGATACTAAACTGAAATTAATCTAAAAATAAAGGCTTAAATGCTAAAACAGTCCTTGTGTTTTACTATGTTGGTCAATTTAATCCCTGTGTTTTTAATTTGGCCAATTTGGTCCCCGTGTTTAGGACCATTAGCAAATGTGGTCCATTTCGTTAAAATTGCCGTTAAATAAACATAAATTATTATTTTTTCTTTTTTGTTGAAAACCTATAAACTTATTTGAAATTGATTTTAAAATTTTAATTAATTTAAAAATATATTGAAACTTCATTAAAACCAAAACATAACATTAGGAAAGAAAAAAGACATGATGGGCATAATCAAGAGAGGAGGGGGGGGGGGGGGGGGGGGGGGGGGGAGGGGGAGAGTGGGGCGCCAGAGGATCCGAGGCAGCGCGGGCTGGGTATGGGACAAATAGCCAGGGAATGGTGGGGTTGGGGAAGATCTTGTTGGGACATGGTCGGGCTGTAGGGGTTGTTTTGAGAGAGAGAGAGCTCAGGGGTGGGAAGGATTCGTGTTCAGGATGTGGGTGTGTGGAAGGGAGTTGGGGCCTCTGGGTCTGGCTGCGGAAAGTAGCTGGGTGGGTTGTTGCTGGGAGAAAGAGAGAAGAAAGAAGAGTGGTGGGGATGGGGCCTAGATTGGAAGGTGGTATCATCCTTTTATTTTAATTTCTTTTAGTTATATATATATAGATTGGAAGGTGGTAACAAGGGTACTAAGAGCCCAGACCAAAATTTAAGATCTTATTCAATTATCTATTTTTAAATTGAATTAAAATATATCTATTTTTTTATTAATATTTAAATAATTTTTAAATTTTTTTAACATAAACTTAACGATTGTATCACATTGGCTAACGGTCCTAAACACATAGATCAAATTGGCCAAATTAAAAACATAGGGATTAAATTGGCCAACACGGAGACTATTTTAACATTTAAGCCAAAAATAAAATAAGAAACACAATGGGGCTCTTCAACGGCCCATCAAAGTGGGCCTGGATACACCTTGGGCCTTGAGAATGGGCTTAAAGTTTTAAGAGAGGCTTAGTTAACTAGACGACATGTCGTCTGAAGGGTCGTTTACTTGACACACAGACTCTCCGAATTCCGCTCGTCCGTTTTGAGTGCATTTTCATCCGTTTTCCTTTCCTTCTCTTCTTCTTCTTCTTCTTCTCTCGTCTCTGTTTCCACAAACTTCAATGCGAAAACATCCCCAAGAAAACCCACCAATATTCAAATCCCGTTTAAAAAAGATTCATTCTTTCTCGCCATTCTGCACGCCATTGTTTTTGTGGTTAGTCTCTTCTCTTGTTACTCACTCACCGTTTGTTTCTCAGGAAAATCATATTGGGAAGGAAACGTAGGTAAAGGAAAATGCTCTCTGATCAGAACCCTTTTTCTTCTCCTTCCCGATAAAATAAGCAAATGGGGAAAAAAAAATTTGGATTTTATGATTGTTAATTGTTTTTGTTGTGGGATTTTGGTGAACTGGATCTTGCAGGTCTGGTGTGGTGTGAGGAGTAGAACGTATGGCGTACAAAGTAGATCACGAATATGATTACCTCTTCAAGATTGTATTGATTGGAGATTCGGGCGTCGGAAAATCGAACATTCTTTCGAGATTTACGCGGAATGAGTTTTGTTTGGAGTCTAAGTCCACCATTGGAGTTGAATTTGCAACTAGGACATTGCAGGTTGGTTTGTCTTTGTTTGGAAATTGACCATTTGCAATTTCCTGCTTTTGGATTGTTCAATTCTGTATTTTTTTTGCTGTCTTTGAACATCAATGTTGAAAGAATAATAATTGGTCATTTATAGAATTGTGGGAAATGCTTACAATTTTGTAGGCAAAGTTTATAGAATTGTTGATGATAGTAAATTTCATTTTCCCTAGGCAAATTTGCCTTCTGAACTCTGTAAAATTTATTTGTTTTACTTTCGTGTTTTATTTTCTCTTGGATTTAATAATCATTTATGTTTCCATGGTGATAGTATGGAATGGATGGAGTATGTAAAGTTTAATCTTTTTTCCCTGCGTATGAGTCTGCCCGTTTATTTTTGTGATGCATCACCTTTAGCGGTGATAAATATATAGCTTGTGAGGCTCTAAGGATGAAAAGCTATTTGAAAAGGAAACCCCTCACTGTTGTTTGTAGAACCACCGCCATTCTGCAGTTTATATATTGTTTGGTGACATTTGGCCTATTTCAAGATACAATTCAAGTGTTTAGTGGCAGGGCTGTGTGTAGGGTTTTGAGGGTGTTCTCTTATTATGAACAGTAGAGCAGCCAATGTATATGTCAAAAATCTCTTAGACAACTTCCGAAGGAGATGATAGTTTTGTATATGCATGGTATTGCAAAAAGATACATGATGAAATTGGAACAACTATCAAATGATTTTTGCTCTTTTCAAGCATTAAAATTTTCATGAATAGCTGTTTGCTTCTCACTCCTCAGTGGCCTTGTGTACACTTTACTTCATAACACATTTACTGAAATTTATTCTGATGCAGGTAGAGGGGAAGACAGTGAAAGCACAAATATGGGACACAGCAGGTCAAGAAAGGTACCGAGCCATAACCAGTGCTTACTACCGAGGGGCTGTTGGTGCACTATTGGTCTATGACATAACCAAACGGCAAACATTTGACAATGTGCTGAGGTGGCTCCGTGAACTGAGAGACCATGCAGACTCTAACATTGTCATAATGATGGCCGGTAACAAATCTGACTTGAATCACCTGAGGGCAGTCCCAGGAGAAGATGCTCAACTGTTGGCTGAGAAGGAAGGCCTCTCTTTCCTTGAAACTTCAGCATTGGAAGCCTTCAATGTTGAGAATGCATTTCAAACCATTTTGTTGGATATCTACCACATAATAAGCAAGAAGGCACTAGCAGCACAGGAGGCAGTTTCCACTACTGGACTTCCTCATGGCACTACCATCAATGTTGCAAATCTATCCGGTGATGTGAATAAGAGAAATTGTTGCTCTAACTGACAAGGTATCGCTAATTCTACAGGAGGGAAAGAAGAGTAGGCAAACATATACAATTTTTTGTTTTTGTTTACAGAAATGGGGTCTATTTTCTGGCTTCGTTTCATGTGTTACCTGTAGAGGCCAAAGCAAAAAGGCAGGGTTTTAGTGAACCATAGTTGAAGATGATCACGACAGCCTTGCGCTGTCTCTATTGATTTTTCTCTGGTACCGGAAAGTATGGGAGGGTAATCAGAGTCTTGGTATAGGGAAGGATTAGATTAAACAAGCATTGTAATTGTAGTTTCGTATGATTGTTTTCTTCTTCTTGTTTTAACTCTTTATTCTTTTTGATCTTGTGAATGTATGTACCTGATACTGCAATAAATCTTTCCATGTTACTTCTGGACAAATGAAAATGTAGTTGTGAATATGATGTGCTGTAAATGATTGGTGAAAAACACATGAAAAATATGTTCCACAGTGCATTGTGGAGTGACAAGTATCTGGAATTTGGATGGATGCATAGTGCAAAATGAGGGGATTGAAATCTAGTGGTTTACAATTTTCATTATTTATACAACATTTGAATTTGTAAAAGGATTAAAGTATGGTAGTACAGGCAAATACCAGTGGTGAAGATGACGCCAGTGCCAGTGTTGGTGCCTATAGGATCAAACTTCTAAAAAAGTTGAGGGAGTGAACTTCGGGTGATAAAGCAATGATTTGGTTTCTTTATGATCACTGATCCAAGAATTACAAATTGTATTAAAGAAAAGGAAAAGAAAGAACAGGAACCTCAACCGTGTAACAGTCTTTACTGCTCGAGGGGCTTGAAACAAATTGATTAGCTTTCAAAATTTCCCTAATAGAAAAGGTTATCTAATGTGGAAAGGGCATAATTCGAAGTAAAAAGAGTGATTAAAACTCAAACTTATGATGTTCCAGAAATTTAATCTAATGATAAAGAATCCTAGTCCTTAAAAAATGTCAGCAGTTTTGGAATATTTTGATCTCATATCGAAGGAAACAGTCTCTATTGCTAAACACCCCACAAAAGCAGATGCCAAACCTTTTTTGTGGTTCTTTCAATATCTGCTTTCGCAAGCCACTTGGAATATATGCCACCAAAGACCACCTTAAAAGTCATAGGGTTTACTCATATATGTGTGAAATTGTATCCAATCAAAACTTCTAGAAGAAATTCTGTCTTTTGCACCTCTTCTTTATCTACACCAGCTGATGGAATCCAAGGGGGAAGAGAATACAAAGAAGACTTTTCAATTCTATAATATACACAAGGTGGCGGTGGAATACAAGAATCTGTAGATTAACCTTTAATTTCAAGCTAGCTCCTCTGTAGCTGGAGATCAGTTTAACTCCAAAGTTATTCATGAACCCAATGATGGTCTTTGCATTTTGAGATGCTTTTTTTTTCTTTTCTTCCCAAACCAATTAAGCGCTACGTTCAGAGAGCATCTTTTAAGTAACATTATCATATAAAAGTTCAAACATTCACTGCTAGTAGCCTACTGCTAGTCCAAAATAAACAAACGTGTCAGTTTATTGGTCACATACTAGTCCAAATTTGAAAACTTTTAGCAGTCAAAGTTTAAAAAAAAGTTTGGACCAGTTCTGCACTTTTAGATAAACCCACCTCATATGGCAGAAAAACTTGTATGGAACGGGGATAGCATTGTTTTGCTATCTCCGGCCAATCACAGATTGCCACAAGGAAAAATTATCATAAGTGGCATACCGTGATTAACTGGGGATAGCAAAATAGTGTTATCCCGTTTCGTGTAAGTGTTTCTCCTCATATGGGGCATACCAGTTTATTATTGGTTATATTTTGTTGCCAAAATGTTATTAGCCATATCTCAGTCTCAGTTCTCCACCAGTATATATAATGAACTATATTGTTAGATATATGCTGGAAAATAGCAGATTGGAAATGTAGGCAGGGAACCAAAGGACAAAGAAGATGATCAGAAAAGTAGATCAGTAGAGTAGGTATGCAAATGTGATTTTATTTTATTTGCATATCTCAGTTTTTCATATAGAATCCCTGAACTATAAAAGCAGTGAAAAGAAAGCACTCAACTCAACCACAAAAGCTCTCTCTTCCTACAAAATATCTTCTCTTATCTTTGTAGTTTGTTTTAGTACCATAAATCTTTGTTTCCTTAACATCATTCATTACCAATTAGGAGATGGAGCCAGAAATGGAGAAGAGAAGAGGAGAAACAAATACTAATAGGGACGATGGGAATTGGGTTTATGATTCGTCTGTAGATCATAAAGGAAGAGTTCCTCTCCGTGCTTCAACTGGCGTATGGAAAGCTTCTCTCTTTATCATCAGTAACTCTCTCTCTCTCTCTCTCTCTCTCTCTCTGTGCATGTTTACGTTTGATTTAACACAAGAAGGCTTAATTGGGCAATGAATCTCTTTTTCTTTTTACTTGTTTTTATAGCTACGTAATCTTACATATCAATAATCAATATTATTGAATTTTAGTGAGAGGTTAAGTTACTTTGGAATAGCAACAAATCTCATCTCCTACCTCACCCAAGTGATTCATCAAGACATCAAAACAGCAGCCAAAAATGTGAACTTCTGGGCAGGGGTCACAACCATAATGCCTCTGATTGGAGGCTTTTTAGCAGACGCCTACACTGGCCGATTCAACATGGTTCTGTTTTCATCCCTCATATATATAATGGTAATAATTAAATACATGCAGTCCCAATTCTAATTAGAAATTAATTATATATTTAATCATCACTAATCATGGTTATTATTTAAAAATCAACAGGGCCTAAGTCTCTTGACAATGTCACAGTTTATCCCAAGTCTAAAGCCCTGCAATACAAAGATGTGTCTAGAGCCTAGAAAAATTCATGAAGTGGTACTTTTCATTGCCTTGTATTTTATCTCTGTTGGAACTGGAGGGCACAAGCCATGCCTTCAAAGCTTTGGAGCTGACCAATTTGACGACGATCACTTGGAAGAAAGAAAGAAGAAAATGTCCTACTTCAACTGGTGGAACTTTGCACTTTGTTGTGGTTTGCTTCTTGGTGTAACAGTAATTGTTTATGTTCAAGACTATGTGAGCTGGGGTGTTGCAGATCTCATTCTCACAATCACCATGGCTATTACAATTGTGACCTTCTACATGGGGAAGGCTTTTTATAGGTATAGAGTGCCAGAAGGAAGCCCTTTGATACCAATGCTGCAGGTATTGGTTGCAGCCATAAGAAAAAGAAACTTACCCAATCCTTCAAGCCCTGCTTTGCTATTTGAAGTTCCCAAGTCTCAGAAGCACTGCCAAGGAAGGCTTTTACTTCACACAAATAGGCTTAGGTAAGCAAAGCATAGCCCTTTATTATATAAGTACAATGTACTTTTTATGTGCCTGTTATTTACTACATTAATATTGACCGCAAAAGTCGTTAGTAAATGTGGTTCAAATAGCAACACTCAATAGCTGTTACTAATTAGCTTTGATCTGTAGGTTTTTAGACAAGGCTGCGATAATTGAAGAGCATGTCAGCACATCTTATGAACAGAAACATAATCCTTGGAGATTGACAACACTAACAAAGGTGGAGGAGGCGAAACTTATTTTGAACATGATCCCCATATGGCTAACTTCATTAACATTTGGAGTATGCCTGGCACAAGCCCCAACATTCTTCGTCAAACAAGCTGCTACAATGAACCTAAACGTCACTGACAACTTCAAAATCCCTCCAGCCTCCATATATTCTCTTGGGGCCATTGCAATGCTAATCTCTGTCACAGTCTATGACAAGATTCTTGTTCCAATTTTAAGAAAAGCCACAGGCAATGAAAGAGGAATCAACATCCTGCAAAGGATTGGATTTGGGATGATTTTTTCAGTGATGGCAATGTCAGCTGCAGCATTAGTTGAAAGAAGAAGACTAAAAGCTGATGAGCCACAATCTATGAGTGTGTTCTGGTTAGCTCCACAGTACATAATTCTTGGGCTTGGAGATGGGTTCACTCTGGTTGGCTTGCAGGAGTATTTCTATGACCAAGTTCCTGACTCAATGAGAAGCTTGGGTATTGCTTTTTATCTGAGTGTGATTGGGGTTGGGAGCTTCATAAGCAGCTTTCTGATCATGGCTGTGGATCATGTCACAGAGAAGGGTGGGAGAAGTTGGTTTGGCAAGGACCTGAATTCTAGCCGCTTGGACAATTTCTACTGGCTTTTGGCAGCCATGAATGGTTTGAATTTGTGCTTTTATGGGTTGTTGGCTAGGGGCTATACTTACAAAAATGTGGAGAGAAGGGCGGTTGTTGTCGCTGATGTGTAATGGAATTAATCAGTCTATGCCTTGAATTTATGCATAATTTAGAAAATTGAGCACCGATTAGTTAGTAGTTAACTGGCCTAATCAACTTCTGCGTTCTACATTTATTTAAATTACCGTGATTTGTATGTAAAACGATTCTTTTGTGATTTTAAAACAGTCAATAGCACATGCAGATAATGAGAGTGGAAACAAAATTGCCAAAGAGAAAAAGAAATAATATTTTTCTAATCCATCACGTCGAAGCCTCTGTTTCTTTCTTGGTACAATATTTTTGCAACACTGCACCATCATGTTACACTCTGCCCCAAAGCTCAAGACTTTTTTCTTCCTTCATCAATTTCTCGCCTCTCTCTTCTCAAAAGCTTCATAATTCAATCATGGCGGATGAGGGTTTCGAAGCCTTCCACGTCCCCCAACAAAGCAGAAGAGACAAGCTCCGAGTCACTCTTCAGAACAACCCACCACAACGATTCACACCCACTCTCGCCATGCCTGCAGCCAACACCAGCTTCACCTTTCACCCCCACACACCAACATCTAACCCACCATTTTCTCATCCTTTCTTCTCGGATTCCCACCAGAACGACGACGCTTTACGTCGGCCTAATGAACTCAGAAGATCGGTTCCTCTGGGCCCGTTCACGGGCTACGCTTCGGTACTGAAGCGCTCCAGGTTTCTGAAGCCTGCTCAGCAGCTCCTTGAAGATTTCTGCGGGTCGGGTCGATCCGACTCGAATCCCACTCCGCCGAACTATTTGAGCGGGAGGGTCAAAGATCCGACAACTGATGATCGGGTTGAGGTTCAGTTGAAGAACTCTAGGCTGACAATCATGCTGGAGGAGGTACAAAACAATACACCTTAATTGAAAATATAAAATATTTATGTGACAAATTATGTTTTGAATTTCTAATCAACTGTATGTTAATCTTGGTTAAGTTTATTTAATTTTTTTTTAAAAACAAAATCTTGGTTCATTAAAATTAGCCTGGATTTTTTTTGGATTCTATTTTTGGTGATGAAAAATGTAACTGTAAAGTAATATAAGCATGTTTATCACATTGGATTGAATGGAACTTTGATTGATTGTTTGCTGCCAAGGTGTCGCATCATTTGATTGATATGGTTAGTGGTCAGGTCACTGGTCATGGCCAAAAAAGATGAATTGTCTTGTCACAATTTAATTTTTCCACTGTTCATTGTTTTTGATGACATATGCTCTGCCAAAATCAAATGTCACGCATAGTAGAATTCACGAGACCCTATCTTTTAGGCGTTGAATTAAATGGATTAGTGTTGCATCGAATCGTTTAGTTTGATCTAACAATTAAGAGATATGTGTTTTAGACGAAGTTCTGACTCGACGCATATATATCCGGGGAGGCCCATTTGAGTTTTTAGGCCCAAGTCTCATAATGTTGTGTTCACTTTTCTGGTGTGATTTTTAGGTGTACAAGAAGTATAAACTGTACTGCCAACAGATGGAGTCAGTGGTGGCATCATTTGGGACCATTGATGGGCTTGGAGATGCAGCCCCTTACATATCTTTTGCTATCAAAGCCATTTTGAAGCACTTCGGGTGCTTGAAGAATGCCATTTTGGACAAGCTTCAAACCAGAGGCAAGAAGCCTCTGGCTGATGATTTTGACCATGTTAAAGATGAAGCTAGGGGCTCCTCTGATGGAGGCCAAAACCCAAGTCATCTGAGTTTGAGCAACAACCCTCATCAATCTGCCTTGCGATGCCAAAGAGGACTTCCTGAGCATGCAGTTGCTGTGCTGAGGACATGGCTCTTTGAACACTTCCTTCACCCGTGAGTGATTTCTCAATAATTTAACAGGTGTATTTCAATTCAATACATTGGTCTTATGAAACTTGGGTTTTTGTTCATCTCAGTTACCCTTCTGATTCTGAAAAGCAAATGTTGGCTCAACAGACTGGCCTATCAAGAACTCAGGTGACCTACCTTGACCAAGTCTTTTGTGGGTCATTTCTATTTGAATTGGTGATTGAAATTGACCATATAAGAAAAAATGAATGCAGGTTTCTAATTGGTTTATCAATTCAAGAGTAAGAATCTGGAAACCAATGGTGGAAGAAATACACATTCTTGAAACACAGCAGGCTCAAACAACTTCAGACACATCTCTTCACCCTCGTTTAGAGTTACCACTCCAACTGGGGATTTTGCCCCCAATAACATCAACCCAAAATGCTCAAGACACCCAAACTAAACGCTCTAGAAAAAACGACCACCGCGGCGTGCCCGAGCAGAGTGATCAGACACAAAGGAGGAATTCAGCTTATGGAGGAAGCCATGAAGTTTCTTTAGTATTGAGTCTTCAAGCCAAAAAATGAGCATGTTGGATGGAAAGACTTCTGGGCTATAAAATGGTTCTGCTGGCTGGGGTGTAAAGGGAAGCAAGCTACAGGGGCATGCTTTTTGTTAATTAAATTGCTAATGAACAGTGGAGAAGTTTGAGGTAATGGCAAGGCATTGTCGCTTTATCATAGTTTATGTGATGAATTCTAGATATTTCTGATTGTTTGGCATTATCGTCACAAGTCACAACCCACAATGGGGCATGATAAGTAGGTGGTATCGTGTTCCAAATTCTGCTTTAATTTGCCATCAACCCTAATCAGTGGGCGCATGAGAAGATAAAAAAGTGAAATACATGGTCTTTATAAAGCAAAGAAAAAGTTTATCAAGACGTCATCAAGTTAGGTTTACTTGACTGAGAAACAAGCAAAGTATAAAATGCATATAGGAGCTTGTAGCTTGAGCGATTAAGAGAAGTTATTCGGTGCTCTGTTAATAAACGAAATTAAGTAAATAAATAATATAAAAAATTCAATAGTTATAGTGGATATGCGTAAACACACATGATATTGCGGGAAGGGTTGGCCGGTAGTTGAAAAAAAAATAAAAAAGACAAAAAGGTAGAATTGGTAGATTTTCAAGAATGCTACCTGGCAGCCACGTAGTGGAGAACCATAATAAACCGACTTATTACATCAAAGTTACTCTTTACCAGCTGTCACCAGTACACGCCTACGAAGTCGAACTCTAGCTCCAAATGCAAGCATATTCGAAACCAAATTATCAGATATTCCGCGTGTGCGAAATTTGTCTGCGCCCAGTCTTATTGTAAGACGCTAAGACCGGTTAAAATTTTCAGATTCAATGTATTGTCAAATAGCAATAACCGACCTTTATTTATTATCAAAATATATTTGCGCTTGCCAATTGCAACTGGGTGTCTGTCTCCTGCTACGATATAACTGAACGCACAGGAACGAAACTGCGGACCAGGCAAGTTCTCGATGACGCAAACCCTAACTTTTTAACTAAACGCAGCGCAGCGCTGAAGAGGCCGCAACGACGTCGGATTGGACATTCTTCTCCCCCGTCCTGCGTTCAAATTAGGCAAAGTTAGAGCAGACAAAGAAATGAAGCTCCAGAGCAGAAGCGGAAAACTGCGTCGGGGTTCGTGCAATTACCGATCTCTAGGGTTTTTGACAACAATCAATTGTTTCTAGATTCGATTATTGAGGGTGAGGTTGCCTCGTGGCGAAGATAGGAGATTCTAGGGCATACTGAAATGCAGACGGAGGCGAGAGTTGGGGTGGTGGTGGAAGGAGGGCAGAGAGCTCTGAATACTGGGCATGGAGGCGTGGCGGTCGAAGGCGGTGTGAGAACACTGGCGCAGTCCCTGCCACAGAAACAGCCGAAGCCTCTGCACCAACAGTCTCAGATTGGAACGGTGTCGCAGCTTCTCGCCGGAGGTGTTGCCGGAGCTCTTAGTAAAACTTGTACGGCGCCTCTTGCTCGCCTTACCATTCTTTTTCAGGTAAAGTCTTTTCTTTTCTTAACGTTTGCTTTCGCAAGCTGATATTTTTTACTGCTAATATTTGTTGTGGTTTATTTTCACATGAAAGTAGGGCCTTTCTGTATTCTGTTGAATGAAAGTTTGGGTTAAAAGTGGACTTTGAATATAGTATTTTTGGGGTTACTGAACATTGGGTTTTGTTATGAGGTTAGTGAACGCTGTGTTATGCTTAATTTTACCAAGAACTGCTTTATTGATATGATGCTATCTTTGTAGGTGCAAGGAATGCACTCAGATGTTGCAACATTGAGAAAGGCTAGCATATGGCGTGAGGCCTCAAGGATTGCTGGTGAAGAAGGATTTAGAGCTTTCTGGAAAGGAAATCTGGTTACAATTGCTCATCGTCTTCCTTATTCTTCTGTCAATTTCTATGCATACGAACATTATAAAAAGGTTGATAAAGCCACTCAGTTAATGTTACCTTCATACAGATACAGTTCAAGCTAGTTTGTTGTTGCGTCGTTGCATCGTTGCTTGATCTTTAATTCATTGAGTTTTATGTGGTACAGTTCCTACAAACAATGCCAGGACTGGAAAATCATAGGGAGAACTTGAGTACAGACCTTTGCGTACATTTTGTGGGTGGTGGGTTGGCAGGAATAACAGCTGCATCAGCTACATATCCTTTGGATCTTGTAAGGACGCGCCTTGCAGCTCAGGTGAGATCAGATGGTTGGAAGGCAATCTTTGTTATTTTTACTAGATTTATGTGCTGATTTGTTAAGTTGTTGAACCATCGATTGACATGTTTGGGGATGCTGTGCTGCCCTTTCTCATTGGGCATTAGTGTATGTGTCCTCAATTCTGTTCGTACTATGTCTTTGTGAGTTGGATGAGTGAAATATAATTTTTTTTTTTAAAAACTTGCCTGAAAGTTTACAGTCCAGTACTACAAAGGCAAAATATTCAACTCCAGTTTGAACAATTGCGTCCTGTCTGGTTTACTATATATGTTAGTCTGAATTAAAGCTCTTCGTCTCAAGTGATAATTTTTGCATATGCATTTTGCTCCTCTACTAATTAGTTGGAACTTTGCAGACAAATGTGATGTACTACAAAGGTATTTGGCAAACTTTGCGAACTATTAGTCGAGATGAGGGTCTTTTTGGCCTCTATAAGGGACTTGGAGCAACCCTCTTGGTATGCTGAATATTTTTGTAACTTTAATTATGGTTAGAATTCCGTTTTCCTGTGCGTATCTAACTACTGCTCTGTCCATAATGCAGGGTGTCGGGCCCAGTATAGCTATCAGTTTTTCCGTGTATGAGACCTTGAGAGCTTCTTGGCAGTCACATAGGTGGTTACTTTATCAATTGATTCAGCAATTCTGGGGTCTTAATGTCTTACAATTACCTTTGCATGGATCCTGTGTTTTGGCCTAACATTATAATGTTATTTTCATTATCTTTACATCAGGCCCAATGATTCTACTGTGTTGGTTAGTCTTGCTTGTGGGAGCCTTTCAGGAATTGCGTCATCAACAGGTGAGTGATCGTACACTCTTTTTTTTTAATTTCGTGTCATATACCGGTGATTGTTGTTCATGATGGAAGTCATAGTTTGTAATATGTCAGTGTCAACCTTGATGCTTGATTATAATGCTTCTTTGCCCCTGTAGTTTTACGTACATTTTCTTTCACTGTTTACTATTTAGGCAATGTAATCTTTTAGATATAATTTATTAAGTTTACCTTGGTGAAACACCCCTGATCTGAACTATTGCATTCAAATCTAATTAGAACTGTGCTGTTACAATCTGGTTTAGTTAATTTAGTTTTCTTAATTAGAAATGTCAATATTACTTAAAACTTAATGCACATAGCTGTTTACTATGCTTTTGATGCAGAGAAAACCGGATGTGGTGCAGGCTCTGCACCAAGTCTCTAACCAGACTTACCCCTAGAGCCAGAAACCAGACTGGAGTCATTTTTTTATCTGGTATTTGAGAATTTTAGTAAGGAAGCTGACAAGAAATTTCCTCTCCTCCATCATTCAGCTAACTTAATTTTTTTAATATAAAGATCTTGTTTTGATTTACATCATCTTTCCAACATTTCTTCGGTGGCTTGTCTCCCAAAGCTTTGCAGTCGGTTCTATTATAGGGTGGCACTGCTGTCAGGTGAACCTATGTTCTCAGTTACCAAATGTGAGAGGTGTCCTCTTTGAGGTATGCTTCTCACTTAGGCTTCCTTTTGCAATGGCTTCATTGGTATTGTAATCCTTCAAGCCTCTGCTGTCTGCAGGGATGGCCTTGGGCTAGTGTTGCCTTCACTTGGATCTTAATATCTAAATATACTTTATTTAAGGCCCTCTAGTCTATCTTTCCTTCATTATGTCATAATAGTGCAAGTTTTGGCTTTTAAATAAATTGCTGACTGAATGAAAACATTTTAACACCCAATTATCAAGCCCAACAAACTGAAATTCATTCAAATATATGACTTCTGATTTATCATACTTAGCACTGGATTGTCAAGCTGCATAGTGCTAGTAGTGTAACAGGCAATATTACTTATCTGGGTGTAACTGCATGTTAGAGTAAATGTGTCACTATTCAAGCTCATTCTGAGTGTAACATCATTCCATTGATGTCACTGGGACATTAGAAGAAATTGTTTGGTTAGAATTTATATTTCCTTACATTGAAAAACCTTGGTACTGGCGTTTTACTGGAAGCTGCCCTTGGGTACAGTTTTTTCTCTGCGTGACTTGTTTATGGATACCATAGCTTGCAATGATATTGCTAAATGAAAGCAATCATGGGAGTTCATTTTCATGGTACAACTTTTTACATGGGCATACTGTTGCAGTGGCTTTTGTTCTATAGCAAGTATACGCTTTGTTTGAGTTAAATGCGACACATCCTAGACAAACTTGATAAGAGTATTTTTTTTGTCTGATCATCTGTTTCAGTTTTATTTTCTTGGTTTTTGTCCTCTTTCGTGAGTCTTTTTTCGCTTCTTGACTTGTCATATTACAGTCTTTGCATTGTTATAATTGATTGATTAACTGTTCGAGACCTAAGAAGTTTCATGACCTTGTAAGATCTAGTCTTCAAATAGTATTAGAGTACGATGTTATTCTAGAATGGTGCTGTCTCTTATCATTTGATTCTCACTACATTATGCAGCAACATTTCCATTGGATCTTGTGAGACGAAGGAAGCAGTTGGAAGGGGCCGGTGGCCGAGCCCGTGTCTACACAACAGGCCTTTTTGGTACGTTTAAGCAAATATTCAGGACGGAAGGCTTACGTGGCCTGTATAGAGGGATCCTACCAGAATACTACAAGGTGGTACCTGGTGTAGGTATTTGTTTTATGACGTACGAGACATTGAAGATGCTGTTAGCAGATGTGAGTGCTGGTTTATAGTCGATGCCCATCTTTCAGAAGTGATGCCAAAGAAAAGGAGGGTATGAGTGGAAGAAGCTGCTATGACAAATCTCATGGTAGTTAGTTTTGCGGTGCTGCTGTGGGAATTACATTTTTCCATGTATAGATTGACGATCCTATATTACACTTAGAATTGAATGCTACACGACTCTTACAATTCTCAAACATATTCAATCTTTTTCTTGTCTGAGAAATCTTAGGCCCATTTCTTGCAATTGTATTTGATCCATCATAATGCCATGTATGTAAAATTGCAACTATGATGTGTTGCTGTCTTTTTCGAATTCAAAAAGAAAATGAAGTAGAGCTTATTTTGTATCCCGTATATTTTTCCGGGATTTTATTTTTATTTTATAATGTGGCTTGAAGTGTCATGCTTCTCTTTCGCAAGAATTGTTCTACGCATTTGGGAATCTTTCACGTGATCCCAAGCTTGCTCTCATACAAAGATATGTTTTACATAATGAAAAATACAAAACTTTTGCAACTGAAAAGGAGATACCAAACTTCTCTTAGAAAAAATTCCAGAACCGATGAACTCATAACTTCATTAACATCTGTGAAGCACGTAATTGATCGCCATACAAATGATGAAAACATAAGAATCACTTATGTCAAAGAAAGAAAGATATGCATTTTATTAGCAACATTATTGATTGGAAGAGTGACATGGGACTTGTATCCTCACATGGCTTCTGTGATGAGCTCAATCCTTTGGGATTGGGCAAATAATATCTTCAGCGGCCGTGCACAGCAAAGAGACAGAAACAGGGAACATTATTTTATCCTTATTACAATGGGAAGTTTCCGGTGAGACGAATGTGGTCCAAGGTACAACGTAAACCATACTTGTTGACAGCTGCATTAGCTGATCTAAACCCTCCTCCATATGCAGGGGAAGAATCGTTGGCAATTTGGTGCATGAAAAATTCACCCAGTTTATGTTCAACTTTGGACTTTCCTCCTTTTTTCGATGACGATGATGAAGAGGAAGAGGAAGCTGCTGATGTGGATGTAGATGAAGATGGCATGTTTCTAAATCCTGGCATTACTTCTGATTCAAGCCACATGTATGAAAGCACCTGGCAGATGCCCTCCTCTACCTCCGGATTAAGAGTCCGGTAGCCTGCACAGTCCAGTTGAAGAAGAAAAATGAATCCCAAAAAAAAATAGAGGGAGGAGGTTCATGTTGGGAGAGCTTCAGAAATACATGCTACCTTTGAGGCGTAACCAGCCATGCATCAACTCATGCGCAAGAATAGCACCTGTTAGTAATCTGCATTCGGTTTCGAAGAGAGAAGATTATGGTTAGCATTTTGCTTTCATGCTCTGCATATTATAGAATATGGTCTTAAAATTACATTACCTTGGGAGACCATAGAGAACAAGAATGGCAGTAACTTCGCATTTTCGAGTCAATTTCTGAGGTTGGGTTTTTATTCCGACCAGTTGATGCCTCCCAAATTTTGGCCTTTTGAGTATCTGATTAATAAGAAATAGAGAAATCAAGGGAAACAAATATATATATAAAAACTTTGGTAAGCTCTGCTCATGAATTATTACAATTTTAATAAATATGGAAAAAGAAATTATAAAAATTGTCTGATATCATACACTGGTGACGGTCTGCTCTTCAGAAAGGCATAAACCCCTGGTCTCGGGCATGTGATGAAGGCCCTGCAAAGAACCAGTTTTGAATTAGAGGAATTCCACAGAGCAAAAACTCAAATAATTAACCAGTTTTGGTTATCAAATATTACACTCTTCTCTCCTACAATAGCTTCATTAAGTGCTTGTCTTTCAACCAGAAGCATGGGAATTTGCTGATCCAATCTCATGTTCATTCCTTCGTAATAATCTCTGATGGCATGATACAGGGGCTGACAGTCACCGGTATCCATGATTGCAGATTCCATACACTCAAAGCATAAACTCCGTCCGTCTCCCAACGATACGTATCTTGCATCCCAAGACTTAAGAGGAAAAGAATACAACAGAATGATTTGATTTAGTGCTCATGGTGTTTCATTTTCAAATTTCAATAATCTTTTGGGGAGGGCACTACAATTTTTGTTGGAAAAATTATCGCACTGGCTTAGATTAGTACCTCTAAACGTTCACAACTACAGCAACGAGCTGTGTTATCATGTTCATGTGATGGACAGTATTTTTGTGACCAAAATGGATGGCATCTATACTCGATCAAACCAGCTCGATTTGTTGGAATCTGAAAATTTTCGAAATCAAGTATAAGTAATGTCAAAATAGATAACTATAGTAATGACCAAGACCAAGTTTAGATGAGCTACAATAACCCAGCATCTTACAAATTGATGACAAACTTCACACTTGGGATGGGCCAGCTCTTTAAAACATGACTTGTGATATGGATCCCTCCCTGACAAAGAAAACTTGGATCAAGAGAAAAACACCGGTAAGAACTGGATAAAAGCAAAGAAAAGAGATCGATACAGTGATATGAATCCAAGGAAGACAAGCTACCTCATTCTCAACTATCGGGCGACCACAAGAATGACAACAGAAGCATTGGGGATGAAAATAAGTTCCCATGCATCCCAGATAGTTGCCAAAGCGTATATCGTGTTTACAACCGCCACATATTCTGCAAATTTCAGGCATAAACAGGAAAGCTTCAGTAACATTCAAGATTAGGAAGTTGTGAAATTAAACTCGAAGTTGATTTTCCCTTCTTCTCTTAGACTCAGGTTGATCACAAACTCATTTGAATTTTTATAAACAGCTGCAACAACCTTCAAGCTCCATTAACACTGATATTTAATTGATAAAACTGTGGACCCTGAGCTGCACAAAATTACTAGTACAACTGAAAAATGTTACCTTTGTGTTTGTCCATAGGAATAATACGGTGCAGGAGCTGGGGCATAAGGAGGATATAAAGCCGGATTCGAACTGTCCTGAAGTGACCTAGCAAGCTCTTCATCTCTCTCTGCCTGCCATCTATATCCTGGAAATTAAAAATCAAAAGTTGAACCCTCAGTTATGACATTGTCAAATAGACACACACACACACACAGTAGAATTCAGAGTTAAATCTTGAACAATAGAAACCTACCACTTCGTCTCTTCAAATCTTCAGCCAGAGACAGTCCAATTGCATGGTCTAATTCCTCTTTCTCCTTCTGTGCTCTAGAGCGGTCATCCTGATCACGAAAAGAAACTAATTTTAGAAATGTACACACCCTATGTTTCACACCCAAAGCATAACACGGGACACAACAGAACCCAACAGGGCATCAAGTCTAATGCTGAGAAAATTCTATCAAACCCCATTTTCTGCAATCTCAAAAGAACATATATACAATACCGATCTTAGAATCTATACTGAAAAGTAAAGACGTAAGTTGCAGCCAAAATTGAACAAAATTTTGTAACCTCCTAACAACAGCAGCAAGAAGCCAAGAATGCTAAAAAGAGAAGAGGGTTGGTGTTCAAAGTTCAAACCAAGGATCCAGGTGGCGCCCGCCAAATCATGCTTTCGTCGCCAATTAGCTGCGGATGATGATTACTACCAGCTGCGTTTCCTCGACCGGGCCCGCTCCTGAAAAGTTTACTGAGCCATTTCATAAAGCGTGACTTCCTCTCTGCGTACGAAGAAACAAACTCCCCTGCTTACCACAAAAATTTCAACAACATCTCCCAACTAATTCCACTTTTCCGTTCTTTCTTTTTGCTTTTAAAAAGAAAGGAAAAAAAACAGAGCCCAGAAGAAAAAACAGAGTTTGAAAAACTTGAATTAATTTGATTGAGAGAGGAGATGAATATATAGACAGGTATGTTGTACCATAAATACAAGGGTGAGAGGGCTGGTTGACACCTGTGGGAGCCATGTGATATGGAAATGAAGCTCCTATGTATAGAGAGGGCTTCGCCGGAATCACCCAGAACCTCGAAAAGGACGGTCACAGAGAGACCTCAGAGAAAGAAAGAGAGATAGAGAGAGGGATTACGTGACGGACGGCTCGAAAGAAAAGGGGGAGAAGAACAAGGCACTGGGCATCGTTAAAATTAAAAGGCCCAGGGAAAAGAAAGAAAGAAAGCAAGAGAATCTCTGAGAGAGAAAGAAAGTGATTTTAGAATGTAGACACAGAGACGTAGAGAAAGACTGAGATTCTTCGCTTCCAAAACAATGAAATTCATTTCATTTCTAAACACCCAAAAAAGTACTGATCAAAACTCAACCCAATAAAAATATATATATATATATATGCAGCATATACATATATACATACATGCGGCACAGGCAGGGAGGGATGGAATCTGGTGAGGCGGAGGACCATAAAAGTAACGGTGGAGGACAGCTCAGTGAATCCACAAAGAGAAAAAAAAAGGTCGTGCTGTGTGTGTACGCATCGTCATAGATTGGATTTGGAGTTGGAGATGGAGATGGAGGAATGTTCTCTTCTCTCTCTCTCTCTCTCTCTCTCTCTCTCTCTCTCTCTCTCTCTCTCTCTCTCTTTTCGTTCGCTTTTCTTCTCTCTTTTCTTCTTTCTTTCTGGTTTTGAATTTTGGAACGAATTTGCGTTTTCCCGGGTTTACGATTAAAAATGACTCAGAATATTCGCTTTATTTACGTAGTTACCATGGGCCTCCACTTATTGCTGTTGGTCGTCAACTGGATTTAGGAACTTGAGGGTGTGTTTGGATGCTTGCAAAGTGCGAGGCTTTATCCAGTAACCAATCTCTTCCCCTACGTAAACACAGCCAAACAAGACCTTTAAAATAGGTAGACAGACAGCCCAAAAGTCTTGCTTGAGGATGGTGGTCCACTAAAATTAACAGGTTTTATTCTCCCTTTTTTTTTTTTTTTTCTCCCTCCCTCCCTCCCCTTTTTTTTTTTTTTTTTTTTTTTTTTTTTTTTTTTTTTTTTTTTTTTTTTTTTCTTTTAACATCTATTTTTTTTGGAGATTTTGATACTTTATTATTTATATTCTAGTATTTTCTTTCTATTAGTAGTTTTTTTCACATGGCAATAATAATTCTCTCAACAAAATTAATATATATATATATATAATAATAATAAAAACCTTCTTACATAGACAACACAAGAATCCATTCATAAAAGTTTATCTTTGTCTATCATTTGTATGTAAGAAGGGTACTTCCATTAGTTTGAGAAAATAACTTTGTTTCGACCTTTGATGCATGACGATCTTATATACATAGTCAACCCACTTTACAGCTTAAAATGCAATTGCAACGGGAATAATACTAGTTCACTATCTTTGGCTAATAATGTTGTCACGTGAAAAAATTATTATACTTGTCATAACATTATATTGACCGAAGATAACAAAACAGTGTTATCCTCGTTTTATGCAACTGTTTCTCTTGCAAGTCGGTTTTTGCATGGGCAACCGTCCTCCAATATTCCTATCTATATCTACAAAAGTATATTGTATATCAAACACTAATTTCAAGATAAAAGGGACCCTTTGTATTGTAAGCCGTCCATAGTTTTTCACTTATCCAATGATTTTAGCTGAAGGGTAGGCTTCGACCTACTTGAAGCATTAATCTGAGGCCTAGAGATCTGCTTGGGATGGGGGTATATTATTGTCAGCTGTCTTGGTACCCTAGCCAGGAACTCTATTTAACTAATTAGGAGCCATACAATTTCTGGGACAGGCTTTATTCTCAGCTTGAGATGTTTCCAAAAATATTGTAACGTTTCTTTTTTGTGTGTGTTTAGGAGAAGTTGTGTGAATTAGAAGCAGTTGATGTATGTTTCATGTTGATGCCAATATTCTAGTGAAGGGCGACAGACAGATGCCTCTGAATCAAGTCACATGAATTACCAAATCTTGCAGATGCAAATAAGATAATCTAGTCTCTGCTCTGTGGTGTCCTGCAAAGGGAAAGCATCTTGGATTGTTATATCCAATTTCTTTTACTCAGTTTTTAAAGTTAATCTGTTTTTTTTTCTTATAAACGACTGAAATTACAAAAGAAAGAGAAAAAGGAAAAATGTTATTGAAGTTATAATCTTGGGCTTGTTTGAAATTTTAGTTTGGCATCATCTCTCTCAAAATTTGTTCGTAATAAGAAGTTCCCTCAACTACTATTCATGCAGGGAAAAAACTTATTCTGAATCTGCTGCAAATGGTCAAAGTCTTGGTTGGTTTGGTGAAGGTTTAAAACATAGAGAGTTTTGGAAATATCGATGATCCAAAAACACGGATATATCAATGATTGTGTGGATGAATACTTTGTTTAAGAAGTCCCTAATTGATGAATACTTTGTTTATTTTATTCATGTGGAAACATTGAATTAATTTTTGGCATGGATGGATGCACAATTGATTTTAGTATCTCTTATGATGATCGTGTAACCCTCACACTAAAAAATTTATCCAAATTACTTGTTCTGAATCTAATAGTATGTTTTCGATTGCTAGCAATATAACCTTAACACACCATGAGTGGTGGATTTAATCTGAAATTCAATAGCATAATGACTTGATATTTTTATATATACTGTGCTAGTTAGAATGCATGGAAACGCCTGAGAAATGGAGTGGAGGCATGGACCTTGCCCTACTGGATGATTGAACATTTACGTAAACATACAAAATACGAAATTTTGAGTTTTGCTCTCATTGCTTCATTAATTATTAATTATTTTTATATAGATCAAAATACATAGCTATGTTAATTTCGCCCTAAGTATATTTGGTTTTTAATAATTGCTTCCGAATCCCGATTATTTGTTTTGGTTTCTTAGCAAACAACGACTGAGAGAGAGAGAGAGAGAGAGTATGGGTGGTGGGATTCGCACAAACGTGAAGGGGGTACATTAAGGGGGGTGTATTCAATTGAGATTTTAAAAGACTATTTATGGATAAATAAGTCCAGTGGATTTTAAAAGACTATTTAAGAATGTAATGACTTATAAGATTTTTTTGAAAGATTTTTTATACTTAGGATTTTTTATGTTTGGATTTTAAAGATTTATATCATAAGAATTTATATCATAAGAATTTATAAGATTTGAAAGGACCACATGGATTTTTTATTTGTACGATAACCAACCAACTTAGTTGTGGGCACTTGCATCAGCAATAACATAAACGGGATCAAATGGAATGGAACAATAAATAAAAGCAAACATTCAAAGTTACAAGAGTCAATGAAAAAGATAACAAAGAAACACAATTTTAACAAAGAAAAGTAAAATTCAATAAAGTTTTCCCGATCTTTTAGTAGCCAATTTGATGTAGCTTCATGTCCACCTAAGTAGCATTTCTCCACATATCTAAAGCTATGGTAGCTCTCCATGCATTAGCATTTTCTCGTTGCTGCTCTTGGGTTTGAACAATAGGTTCCAAATTCTCTTCTTCATTAACTGGTAATACTGAAGATGAAGAAGATTCGTCCACTGGTTCAATTGGAAATTCATCAGAACGACACTCTTTGCGAAGAAAGTTGTGTAGTGCTACACATGCTAACACAAGCTCTGCTTGTGTCTTAAATGGAAATGGAGGCGCTGACTTAAAAATTGTGAACCGTGATTTAAAAATGCCAAATATCCTCTCGATCACATTCCTCAATGACGCATGGCGAAGATTGAACAATTCATTTTCATTTTGAGGGTCATTACCATGACCTGCAAAATCTTGGAGATGATATCGCACACCTCGAAATGGAGCTAAAAATTGGCGCCGATTAGGAAATCCACAATCCACTAGGAAATATTTACCTAATTATATATACAATACATATAAAATTAGTATGCAAAGTTAAAAAAATATATATATTTATCATTTAAAATAAGTACTTACCTTGGGGCACTTTAAGTCCATTCCTCCTTGATAAAGCATCATTTAGTAGCTTTGAATCATGAGCTGAACCCTCCCACCCGCTAAGAACGTATATGAATTCCAAATCAAAGTTACAAGCAGCTAATACATTTTGTGATATCTTTCCATGACGATTACGATAACTGCTTACATCTCGTCCCCTCACCATTGCAAGAAATGACACAATATCGAGTATTTTGGCCGACGATTTGTAGGAATGATGCAAGCATTTCTTCAACGCAAATAAATCTTGTATCCTCCAAAAGTGTTTTTTCTCTAAGAATTGTGCATAACTTCCGGAATACATCTGGATACATTCTATATACTTGTCGGAAGATTGCAGGATCATTGTTCAATGCTTGATGTATATAGTCATATCCACTGCTAGTAATTCGCCGTCGAGTTAATGGACGTTCAATATATTCACCACGCATTATATTCAGAAATTGATTTAGCACATGCATTACTGCATAAATTGCCATCACTGAACTGTAAATGGCTTCATAAAATTCTTCATCTATTTCTTCATCATCTATATCTTCGTAATCAATTTCTTCTTCCTCTATGTCATTACCTTCATATATGTTCGGTTGTGACATTATGCGTATATAAAAAAATATACTAGACTGCAAAACAATAAAAAGAAGAAAATAGTACACATTACAATATAATAATTGCATAAAAAAAGTGAAAGCAAAGAAGGAAGAATCTGAAAATTAGGAAGGACAAAAAAATATGTATATGGAGGAAATTCTGCTGAGCACAATAAAAATAGGAAGGATAAAACAATATGTATGGGACCATGACACAATAAAGTGGGATCAAAATAGGAAGGATCCGAAAATCAACAAAGGCAATAAGGCCATGACAAATAATTAATTCAAACCATCTAATGGTCCAAATGCTAGTTTTGAATAACAAAATATCGTATTCAAGTTTCATTGGAAGGCTATCCTATCAGGTAATAGGTTAGAAGAATAAAGAAAGAGACAGTATGGTGTAGCTAGAAGACAAATGGAAGTGGGGCAGAGTTCAAACTCTGTACTATAGCCAAATAGAGGCAATTTATTGTATTTGAAGCTGCTGTCAAAATATGTAACAATAACAATTTATTGTATTTGAAGCTACTGGCAATTTATTGTGACAATATAACACTATGTATGTGAAGCTGCTATCAGAATAGTTTAACCGAATAAAAAAGTTCAACCAAATTATAATCCAAAATTGTTCAACCAAGTTATAATCCAAATAGTTCAACCAATGTACCAAAATAGTTTAATCAAATTACAATAACAATAGTTCAACCAAATTATAACTCAAATAGTTCAACCAAAGTAGAAGCAAAATAGCACAAACTAAAATATAGTTCAACAAAACCCAAGATGGTCAAAATACTAAAATCATCCTAACTTGAATTTTATCCAAGATGAGCGCTCTTCCAATGACATCTTCAAGAACAAGTCCTTCTTTGCTTTATTACTAAGCAATTCACCTGCCATGTAACGAGTATTGTCATCCAAATTTGGTATCTCTTTTATAGCATCCCAAATATCCCTCTCTCTGTCTCTGTCTCTTTCTCTTTTCTCCATTAGGTTAGATATTTTAACAAAATTGGCAGAAATAGTCTCAATGCCAATAGAAAGATTTTCTAGAACTTTGGCTTGATTATTGGTCCCAACTGAGCTAGAACTCACTTCATACTCGGATCTATTTCGCTTATTGCGGCTTGGTTTTTCAGTGGGAACCTCCGAACCTAAAGGGGAATAAGATGGTGGACTGCATTGGCGGGGTGATGGAGGCTGGTAGGATGGTTCATAGTGATTTGGTGCTATGAACGCATCATTGTTAGGATCATATGAAAAGTCTTCCATCCCAAAATCTCTATTTTCTTCTCCATAAGTTGTTGCATCGGTATCATCAACGCCTAATGCAATGGAACCATTCCCAGTAGCAGTTCCACCCCCAACGACAATCTTCAAATCCTCATAATCAACTACACTTTTTTCTCGAAGTTTACTTTGACTTGGGTGGGACTAGCAAAGAAAAAATTATTCATTGTTAATATATTGCAAATAACATAATGTACTAAACTAGTAAGCTATTAATATATTTAAAAGATTATGAATTAAGCTCACCTTCAAGTAATCTTTCCATACTTCCTCACTAGCAGTGAAGGTCTTTGCAATTGGGTCCCACCCAAAGCCAGAGTTGTTACGCATAAGCATCGACATCTTGTTATATTGCTTCTTAAACCACTTCATTCGACTCAAATAATGATTATAAGTTTTAGGGAACCTAATTTTCGCATTAAGACGAGGAAGTATCACTCTTTCTACATTTTGCTTGCTAAGTGACCCATTAGCATCTCGCAATCCACTATTGATAGCATCCACCAAGAGATGCAACAACTCATTGGTATCGTCCATGGTCCAAGATTCATAGTTCTCTTTCTCTTTGCCTTTCCTTTGTTATTTCCTTGTTGTGAATCCCCCATTAAATTACTACTACAATATATGTAAGAAATTTATTAGTTATTTCACAAGAATACATATCATACCAAACAAGAAAACCAAAACAAATTGCTTCCAGGTACAACAATAATAAGCATATTGATTTCAACTAATTGCTTATTTTATTTAATTCTTGAGTGCTATTTTATTATTACAACAAAGATTCATCCAAATCAACAACACCCCATCTCAACCCTCAATCCAACCAAACAAACGTCACAAGCAAAGCTTGGAAAAATAACAGGGGGAAGAAAGGAAAGAAAACCCAAAGCCAAGCAACAACAAGAAGCATGAATATATTCATATACGAAAATATGGAAGATATCTCAACAGTAACAGAGCCTTTCAAAAACATGTAAAAAGCAAAGTACCCATTACAGAATAAGGTCACATGGTTATAGAAAACGATGTCAGCATGGTTATAGAAATTGAAAAAGAATTACTATATCAATAGATGTCAACATGGTTATAGAAAACGAATACAAAATTTTCTTACTAGCAAAGAAAACATAGCATGGCATATATTTGATACATACAATAAACGCAAGAAGACATAGCACGAGAAGGAAGCAATACCTTATTCACAAAGAGCTGTTTATCTTCACGAAGAACTGTTCATCTTCTCTCGCAGAGAGAAAAAAATCTCACGTGAAAAGTCTGACGGGTTATGGTGGGATTTTTTTTAGGGTTTGGTATTTATACCTCCCACTAAAAAGTCACACAAATTCCTTCTTTAAAAAAAATCCTTCGAAATTAGCAAGTTTTTGAATACCAAAAGACTTTTTGTTACTTGTTTAAAGTCTTGATTGAATACCACTAGATTTGGACACCCTCTTTAAAAAATCCTAATAATCCTTATTGAATACCACAAGACTTGTTTAGATTATTTAAAAGTCTTAATTGAATACCACAAGACTTATTTATCCCAAAATAGTCTTTTAAAATCCTAATTGAATACACCCCCCTAAGAAACGCGTCACTTCGGCTGTGGATGACAATATTATTGAGGATGAGAAACCACAAGCTGTTGCTGCTGCTAGTAACGTTGCGTGGATACGAAACCACAACAAGAAGAGCCATCTTCTTCGTTTCCAGAATCTAGCAGCACGACTTCACTTGGGGGCAATAGCTCTGCAGTATCATATGTATGTGTTTCTATGTCATGTCCCGCCCTGTGTTAATATTCTCTTGATGATATTGTGTTTGACTTTTGGCTACTTTTCTCAAAAGATGCAGGGCTTAAACAAATTTTGCTAGTTAATTACTTTGTGATCAAGTTATATACAAGATATAATGAAAATATATGACCAATTTATCTTGGCTTCCATTTCCATTGAAACAACTATAACATGCAGGAAACTTTCTTCGTGGCTATTTATTGAGCAGGAGAAGTGGCAGCTGTTGAAGATTAAAGATCCGGAATGCAGCAGCGCATCAGCTTCAAAATTAGATGGAGTACCAATGGACCCTGCCGTACTGGATGATATAACCACACGGCTCTTGGAGATATCCGATCAGTAAGCCAGGCCACCAGCAGGTCCAGCTAACGGAATCCGAGATCAAGCAGCTCTTGTTCCTCACAAATCTTTCTTAAACAGCCAATTTGCTCGGGCTTGATGTCCCTATGAGAATTTGCGGTAAAAAAGTTGTGTCCTTCGCACCTCAATATTAGTCCTAGTTTTTTTGGGGCATAGATTTCGCAGGCTAAACTTTGTGAACTTAACACGGATGCTTAAATTATTTGTCTAGACTATTATAATTTATATAGGAAATGATCCTACTTGTTGACGCTCAAAAATGGTTCGGCACTTTTGAGCCCAACTTAGTGATGAGGTGTGATGGATGATGGGTGAAGGTGAGGACCTTCGCCAAGTGCGTGAGGATTTGAGCAAGCGATAAACATACAGAACACAAGAGATACGTGGTTCACCCTTCATGAATGAGCTACGTCCACGGAGAAGTATATTCTCATTATTATAATATTGTGTATTTACATTTGTACATGGGGTTGGACCCAAATATAAAAGTAAGAAAGGAGAAGGCCATGACTAAAGATCAAGCCCAGCCCAAGGATCATTTTCCAAGTAATGTAGTGTCGATGGTGCCGAATGATGACGGGGTGCCGGAGGCTATGACTGGGTGCCGAAGGCAATGACGGGGTGCCGAAGGCATCGCTCTCGTCAGATGATGACAGGGTGCCGAAGGCGTTGCTTTTGCCAAATCATGATAGGGTGCCGAAGGCTATAACTAGGTGCCGAAGGCGATGACGGGGTGCCGAAGGCATCGCTTTTGCCAAATAATGACAGGGTGCCGAAGGCATCTCTCTTGTCAAATGATGACAGGGTGCCGAAGGCATCTCTCTTGTCAAATAATGACGGGGTGCCGAAGGAATCGCTCTCGTCTAATGATGACAGGGTGCCGAAGGCATCACTCTCGTCTAATGATGACAGGGTGCCGAAGGCATCTCTCGTCTAATGATGACGGGTGACGGGGTGCCGAAGGCATCGCTCTCGTCTAATGATGACAGGGTGCCGAAGGCATCTCTCTTGTCAAATAATGACGGGTGCCGAAGGCATCGCTCTCGTCTAATGATGACAGGGTGCCGAAGGCATCGCTCTCGTCTAATGATGACAGGGTGCCGAAGGCATCGTTCTCGTCTAATGATGACAGGGTGACGGGGTGCCGAAGGCATCGCTCTCGTCTAATGATGACAGGGTGCCGAAGGCATCTCTCTTGTCAAATGATGACGGGGTGCCGAAGGCGTCACTCTTGTCGGATGATGACAGGGTGCTGAAGGCATCGCTTTTGCCAAATAATGATAGGGTGCCGAAGGCATCTCTCTTATCAAATGATGACAGGGTGCCGAAGGCATCTCTCTTGTCAAATAATGACGGGGTGCCGAATGCATCGCTTTTGTCAAATAATGACAAGGTACCGAAGGCATCTCTCTTGTCAAATGATGACAGGGTGCTGAAGGCATCGTTTTTGTCAAATAATGAAAGGGTGCCGAAGGCATCTCTCTTGTCAAATGATAACGGGGTGCCGAAGGCATCGCTCTTGTCAAATGATGACGGGGTGCCGAAAGCATCGCTCTCGTCGAATCAAGATGCTTGTAGAACAAGCTTACCAATGGTTATTTCTGATGATCATATATGCCAAAGGCAATAATGTTATGTGATAATATGTGCCGATGGCAGCGATGCAAATCATGATGATGTAGATGTGCAAATGGCCATGATGCGCATGTAATGATGCTTATGTGCCGAAAGGCAATTCGGTCATTCTGTTGAACAACAGGGTACTGAAGGTACATTGTCACTAGATGCCGAATAGGCATGTTAGTATCAGCTGCCAAAAGACAAGGTAAATATTGTCAAACGACATGTTGTACTCTTGGTGCTTTTGAGAAGGAAACCATGTGGTGGTGTCGTGAAAAATTTAGTTGCCACTACCTGTTTCAGAATTCAACTTGTGGTGGGCCCATGAAACTTGGTTTATGGGTTTAGTAATTGTGGAAATTACCGTTCGGCAATTGACTTCAGAGATCATAGGGAGTTGGCCTGCACATGGAGCCACATGGGATGCCGTTTGTTAACCTCAGAATATTTCCAAAAATGAAAGCTTGATCTCGACACTCTTGATCTGCCATTTAGCATTCTTGTAGCCGCTTGGATTTCGATTTCAGCTCAGTAATTTATGCTGGGCACAGAGACCTGGCAATTTATGCAAGTGATGGGCTGAAGATGTGTCAGCTCCAACAAGCACATGAATCACCGATCAGTCAACCTGTTGCTTAGCACTTGCAAGATGGCATGGGTGTATTGATAAAATTCTCTGCTGGAGGTACCGAATGGTAAAAGGCTCCTACAAAGTGAGCTGAATGGAGGACTAGTGTCGCTGCATCCTTTTTGTCTTGCGGTGGTCAAGACTTACTGGTAAGACGTTATGTGAAGCTCTTGTTGTCCTCAACACTTGGGGTACCGTTCGGCAAGCTGGTCCTGTGCTGTTAAGAGTGTAGCTTCCAGATGAGCTACGCCCAACGTTACCGTTCGGCAATTTGCAAGTTCTGACGAGGAGACCATGCCTTGTGGTGATACCTCATTTGGGGTGGTTACCGAAGACAAGGTTTGTCGTTTGATAATGCGTTTTTGAAAGCCTTTTGAAGGTGGATATGGCTTTTTAAATCCACTAGCTGAAGCTAAAGGATTTGGGGATGAGCACTAGGTGCCGATCGCTCCATATTATTTCTCTGGTTTTGTAGCCGTCATTTGGCAAGGGCGACCGAAAACAAAAAAGAAGGACCGGTTCAGAGATTGCTGGCTTCGCATCACGGCTTCGGCACGACTTGGTTCGAAGGAGAGGTCGAGTCTTCCATTGATTCCAGCGTGAAGCCATGGTGAGGCCACGATAAGACTAAGACTTGGTGAATCCGACACGATTTGAGCAGATTTCGTGAGCTCTCTGTTTCGGCACGACTCTTCCATTCGGCAAAGGTGAAGGTGCACCTCTCTTGCTAAACGGCAAGAGTGATTGGAAAGAATTTTTGCAAGCCCACTTGTTCTTCATCTTTGGAAGGAGCCATCTTGCGAGTCCCCATTGCTTCTGCACAACCCTTGCCGTTCGGCAAGGGTGGATTGAGTAAATTTTAGGGCTGGGCTCTTGGAGCTAGGTCCATTGATGTCCGAGTGTTCATTCGGTAGTCAAGCACCGAATTGTAAGAAGGCTGGTTTGGGATTGCGAGGCTAGTTTGGCGAGATGCGTTCTTGAATGAGGTAGGATCGGCAAGGCTTGCGTGCGCGGACCGGGTCTCAAAAGCTGCGGCACGAGCTGGGCTACACGAGCTGGGTCTGTGGAGTGTCGGTACCATTGTCTGCTAGCACCTTCTTGAGTTCCAAACCAATATTAATAACTTTGCCGAACGGTAAGGCATCCCCCACAAGCTTTAGGTGTCTTGAAAGGTTGTGGCAGAGGAGAAGTTTTGATGTTGAAAGTCCCCTTCGTTGTCAACCTTGCTGTTCAGCAGATATGGAAACTACCCTTCGCAATCTGTCACTGTCCTACCGATCGGATGGGGCCACCCATGTTTTATAGAAATTTTCCAACATGTAGATGTGGTTTGACAGATTGGTAAGAGTGGTGATTGGTGGCAGATGTTGGCCAGCATGCATTCCCCAATAAAAGCCAAGCCATATGGTCTCTTCGGCAAGCATGGTATACTTGGGGCTTTGTGATTGCTTACAACTAGTTGTTTGTCTCCTGGAAGTGAACCACGTGGGCATTGGGTACCCAATATTTTGCCGAAGACATGTAGAATATACAAGGCCCCCCAAACTTTCTCTTCAAAGAGGTGACGAATGGCACTTTGAATTAAGATGGTGGTTTGGCCATGCAAGCCATGCAAGACATGCAAAATGATAGCTGCATTATGATTGGCTAATAGATTAATGGACTTGTACCATTTATGTCGGCAAACGGGAATAAAATAAAGACACAAGATAAGAAATGGAGATCTTATCTTTTGGAAGCCCACTCATCAATATTCACCAAAGGTGCCGAACGGTAAGGCATGTAAAGGAAAGCTAGGGTGGCCCATGTATTCCCTATTCTTCTGACTATTATATTGCAAGGATTTATTTTCTGCATGTCACTCTCTTAGCACTCACGGTTGCTCCATTATGGTATTGCCGTTCAGCAAGTTAGGTGATGCTGATTGTAGGGGTGCCGAAGGGCACTGTCGAAAGGGAGAATGACATAAGCTTTTTGTGTCGATTCCCATATACGGCACCAAACTGTTGACGCTCAAAAATGGTTCGGCACTTTTGAGCCCAACTTAGTGATGAGGTGTGATGGATGATGGGTGAAGGTGAGGACCTTCGCCAAGTGCGTGAGGATTTGAGCAAGCGATAAACATACAGAAGACAAGAGATACGTGGTTCACCCTTCATGAATGGGCTACGTCCACGGAGAAGTATATTCTCATTATTATAATATTGTGTATTTACATTTGTACATGGGATTGGACCCAAATATAAAAGTAAGAAAGGAGAAGGTTATGACTAAAGATCAAGCCCAGCCCAAGGATCCTTTTCTAAGGGGAGAGTGGTCTCTTTTTATAGGTGGGGGGGAGCCTTCACTTCTTGTAATATTCCAATGTGGGACTCTTTGCTTTGCCTAAAGTTGCTTCTAGTTGCTTGGTCAAATATTGTATAAATACTACTAATGATAGGAAATGATGACTTGTTAGTTACGTTATTATTAGGCCATAACTCCATATTTATATTTATGATTATGTATTGTGCTTCTTGTGTTGTTGTGATTGTCCACAAGGATATCGTTTCGGTTATAAAGCTCAAGGGTTTTGGGTTTAGGAAAATTAAAAGACGACATAGTTTTAGATTTAATCACAATACAAAGAATAAAAAACAGACATGATCAAATCTATTTATTTCCATACATTATTGTATAATTCAAATGGTAAAAATCTCTTGTTATTGTACCGGTTAGCTTGTAACTCTTATAGATTAGTGATATTTCTCCTTCCAATATCTGAAATTTGAATAAACCATCTTCGATCTTCGATATTCATACAAAAATTCCTTTTGTTATTGTACAAGAAATCGAAATCAAGTTACACTTGATGTTTTGTCCACTTAATGTTTTGTCAACTGGGTATAGCCCAATGGAAAATGGTCTTAACTTGTAGACTAGTGGTCTTATGCTCGAACTCTAAGACACAATGATAGTGTGTGGGAGAAACCCTCATCTCTTTATAATTTAATTTTAAACTATCACTTGTACTAAATGTTTTTTCTGTCAACATTCTAAACCCATATGTGGGTCGATATGACAAAAAAACAACTAAAATAATAAAATTCAATAGGGACCATCCAAAAGAGTTAATAATTTAATATTTCTACAAGATGCCTCATTTTCCTATAGCACCTTTCTTTTGTTGTTCTAAGAATTCCTATAAAAAAATTGCGTGATTTGAGTAACAAACCAAGAAAAATATGAACAAACAAGTCAAATACATAAAGAAAACAACCCCCATCTTTAAAATGTCAATGCCAAAGACGTTTTTCCAAAAGGGAAAATATCGGTGGGCAAAAACAGAAAACACAGAGAACGTTTTATGAAAACAAAAACAATTTCACGTCTACTTGTAGAAAACAAAAAAAAGATGTTTTCATTATCACAGGAAACAACACTGAAAACACGTTGGTTCTCTCCCCATCAGACCAAAACCACCGTCAAACGCTGCCAACAGAGAATCCCATGCATAGCTTGAACCACCAACATCACCCAATCAAAATCATCATTGCCCCATTGAACCAGATTGTCACCGCCACTCAATCAAACCCAACAAAATCTCTACACAATTGAATTGAACCACCATCGTTGAACAACTAATTGTCGAATCAATTTTCAGTCCAAGAAAAGGAAAGGGAGCTAGGAAGCTATTGGAAGGTGAGATTGCAGTGAGAGAGAGACAGAGAGAGGGTGCAGCAGCATGAAGATAAAGTGGAAAAGATGGGGGTTGGTTTGATGAGAGAGAGAGAGAGAGAGAGAGAGAGAGAGAGAGAGAGAGAGAGAGAGAGAGGGGAATGATAGAATTGGGGTGGGTTTGCAAAGAGTGAAAGCGAAGGTCAGGTTGAGGTTTCAAATTTTTTTTTAAAAAGATAATTCTAGTTTTATACTATAGAATTTTATTCTATTTTTTAAATGATATTCTTTAAGATGCTTAAAAACTACTTCTTTTTCTTTTTTTTTTGAAACTCACATATTGATTACATAATGTTGTATTAAAAAAAAACATAATGCATTTTGATTAAAGTTACATACATCTTCACTGTTTTTGTCATTTTCACATATTACTATCAGACGTGTTTTCACTATTTTTGTTATCTGAAAACAATTTTCAACTAAGCTACCAGACGCATTTTTGTTCTCTGAAAATGCGTTTTCATTTTCTCGTTTTCATTCTATGAAAACATTCTCTGAAAATACTCTCTAAAAACATTACCAGACGGGCCTAAGTTTTTGTTCCAAAACGACGTATAGCTGGGTTAACCCAAAACCTAACCAAACTCATCCAAATTTGGATGGGCTTACGATTTAAGCCCATTCTCTCTACAACCAAACCAGATGACAATCAAATTGTTCAGATCAGAACTGTGAGCGGAAGAGGATTACGACGTCGTCTGCCCTACTCATTCTTTTGTTTTCAGATATTATAGGCTCCTCCGTCACATAGGAGTTGCAGCCGTCTTCCATCTTCAATATTTTGACGCTTTCTTCTCCCCAATTAAAAAAACCCACTATTTTATTCTCATATTTTCCAGTTCGCTTTCCCTTTTCCGTCTCCCACTCTTTTTCCCGAGAAAATTACTTTTATTTTTATAAAATATATTCACTGAGAAAATTGACCCACCAAACCAAAAGCCAAATTCGAAGCGCAAATACAAGACAGAGAGAGCCTCCGTAGACATAACAGCTCAGACAGATAAAAGAGAGACCCTTTTTCTCGAATTCGGATTTCTAGGGTTTCTTCTTTTGTGGCTGACGGGAAATCTGAGCCGTTCAAACGAGGATCTGAAAATCGAATCGAATGGCCTCGCAAGGGCAGGGAGCGATGGACCCTGCCGTACTCGATGACATAATCAGACGGCTCACGGAGGTCCGATTAGCCCGGCCGGGAAAGCAGGTTCAGCTTTCGGAGTCTGAGATCAAACAGCTTTGTGTTGCTTCCAGAGAAATCTTTCTTCAGCAGCCCAATTTGCTCGAGCTGGAAGCCCCAATCAAAATCTGCGGTACCATATTTGCATACCCACATACATTGATGCAGCTAATTTATCGAACTATTTTATTTTTTAAATTTTGAGTCGCAACAGATTGGATTGACTTTTTTCCCCTTTTGGGGTTTTGCATGTTTGTATATGTATACACACACACACACACACACACACACATATATATATATATATATATTCTAATGGGTTCCCTTTCCTTGCATGCCTGATATGAAATTGCTTATCGGAAAGATGGTGAAATCACAGGGTTGAAGTTCTTTGTGGTTGAGATTATAGTTTAAGAGTACCCATTTGCATTTTTTTTTCCATTTCAGAGTTTTACTTTGAAAGGGAGAACATAAAAAATGTTGCACAAGTAGCTTAGAAAATCAGCTATGTGTGGCAAGCTACATTACTAAATAATATATGTTTTGTGAATATACTGTTTTATTTTTTGTTATAGATGTTCTGATAAATAAGTTATCCTCTGTTCTCCCTCTTCAATGTTATGGTTGTAATCGTTGTGAATAGATTGTGGCTTATTGATGATGTTATATGTTCTTTTGTGTATTTTGTCTTTATAATCGTTTGTCCAATTCAATTGAAATCCTTGATGTGCCTGGTTGTATGTCATGTGAAAATGACGGTGGTTTCTACCTTCATTTGGGGAATTAAAGGCTATAATGGTTCATTCAATGTCGTTTAGATTGAAAATAATTGGGGAATTATCTAATCTTGATTAGTCATTGAGAATAGGATATGTTAAAAAGCATAGTGGAACTTGGAAGGGAGGGTGGATGGGGCTGTACACATGTTTTTCCCCTTTTCCATTTCGCAGGGAAGGGCTGAGGAGGGCCTGATGAAGTATGAGATAGTTAAAGATCACTTCACCCATTAACCTATGGATTTATGGATTTCCTATGAAATCATGGTAAAACATTTGACACAGGCAATTTGAACCGGAATTTCTTGTCATGTTTTGTTTTGCAACATCACAAGGATTTCAGAAAATATTTGCCACATAGATTTTTACTCTGTTGAGTTACAAGTAGGTAAATCAGTCCAAATCTTTGAGAGTTGTGGATATTTAGAAAGGAAAAAAATTGTAGGTATTATCTCTAGATAAAGTGGCCATTTTGATCTTTGCAGCTCATGGCAATGGTTGTTTAGAAGTCATTTCACTTTAGTCTGACCTGAACTTTCCTTTTTATTTCCAGGTGACATCCATGGGCAATACAGTGACCTATTAAGGCTCTTTGAATATGGCGGTTTCCCACCTAGTGCAAATTATCTTTTCTTAGGCGACTATGTGGATCGTGGCAAACAGAGTTTAGAAACAATCTGCCTCTTGCTTGCCTATAAAATTAAATATCCAGAGAACTTCTTTCTGCTAAGAGGGAATCATGAATGTGCCTCTATTAATCGTATATATGGATTCTATGATGAGTGCAAGCGGCGATTTAATGTGAGACTTTGGAAATCCTTCACTGACAGCTTTAACTGCCTTCCTGTGGCTGCACTTATAGATGACAAAATATTATGCATGCATGGTGGTCTTTCCCCTGATTTGACAAACTTGGATCAGATCAGAAACTTACCTCGTCCAACTGCTGTTCCTGATACCGGCTTGCTTTGTGATTTGCTCTGGTCAGATCCTGGTAGAGATGTTAAGGGATGGGGAATGAATGACAGAGGAGTCTCATATACATTTGGCCCCGATAAGGTGGCAGAGTTCTTAATGAAGCATGATTTGGACCTTGTTTGTCGTGCCCATCAGGTTATTGACTTTCCTTCTCCTCCCCCTTTCATTCTGTTCAAGCCACGGCTACACATTTGGAACTGAAACAAATTTTCTTTTGTCCAGGTTGTGGAGGATGGTTATGAATTCTTTGCCGACAGGCAACTTGTTACAATTTTTTCAGCCCCCAACTACTGTGGTGAGTTTGACAATGCTGGTGCAATGATGAGTGTAGATGAGAACTTAATGTGCTCTTTCCAGATTCTTAAGCCAGCCGAGAAAAAAACAAAGTTCATGATGTCAACAAAAATGTGATGATTGCAATACCACTGCTCCAGTCTTGAACCAGGTCAGCTGATTATTGTTGCAGTTTGTTCCTTTGGTATTAATCATGTCTGTGAGTCCACTAGCTATGTGTATGTTTGTGCATTCACATCATGTTGTCTATGCTATTACTTTGCATTTGTGTAAGTGCATGTGCAGTCATATGTGGATGTTATTACTTGTTATGCATATTGGCTTGCTAGCTTTATATGTGTGTGTATCATGCTGTCTCTGTTATTGCTTTAATTCTGTTTTTCTTCAGCACGTGTATAAATAAATGTGCATGCATATGTGAATGTTATATATGTGACTGTTATTTTACTCTGTAATTTTAAGTTCCATTGATTTACTATATCGTCTTCAAGAAACTATAGATATGTTTTTCTTGTTTCCTAGCTGTCTTTCAAGCATTTTGGACCACTTTTCTTGGAAAATGGAAAACTGTAAAGAGTCCCACACTTTTTAAGTTGTTACTTTGAAAAGGTAACTTGTTTGATTCAACCTTAGAAATTAAGTATACCTCAGTAGTTTTTATGTTACTTGCTTATCCACATTTTGTATTTTGACGTGTATTGTTGCTTGAATTGCTGACGATGCACTTTTTGAGTCGAGCAAATTGAGGCATGGGAAAGGAAAAGTTATTGAAGCTGGTCTTTTAGTACATAATTCTGTGAAAGGATCAATGTTATCTCATAAACACAAGGCAACTGCATGTATTTTTGGCCTCCTCTTAGTGAAGGCCAATCAGTCCAATCTCATACCCAAAAGCCTTTTTAACTATTTATGAACCATGTGCTCGTAAAAAGATCCTGTAGTTCTGGTGTTGTGCTTTCTTCCCCGTGGTTATGCAATTCTTTGTAGATTTGACTTGTTTTATCATGTGTTCATGAATTGCAATGCCAGTCTCATTGTGCTATTTGCTACTCAACTATTGGTGGCCATTTTCCTCTTCTTTTTTATTTTTATTTTTATATCTATTTTTCCACGTGCAGACATTTTTTCCGTTTTTTGTTGGGCAACTTGGCTGGAAATGACGGTTGCCAGCCTCAGAACTTTCCTCTATCTCTAGTAGATCCCAAGTACGGTGCTTCAAGCTGGGGAGGGGCCTATAGAAGCTGGGTGTCGGGACAAATATTCTGGAGTCGCTTGAGGCAGAAGAATTTTATGTTTCTTCGTTCACCTTTCTCTGTAATGCTTTATTCTGCGACATTTGTGTACATATATTTGGTCTGGCAACTCATTGTTGTGCTTTCCATTGAGGCCAACAGAAATGGCCGCATTTCACTCCCTAAAGAAGTCTTCAGTTTTCTCAGATTATTAGTAATATTACTCATTGGTGTTAAGCTTATTTTGGTGGTAAGAGATGGTCCAACTGTTATTAGTGGCTATATGTTGCATCTTATTATGGAGGTCATGGCTTCGTGTTTCTGTCCTGTTGCTAACCATTTATGATTGCTGCTGTTTCCAATCTTAAAGCAATTTGAAGAAGACAGATATGGCCAATTTGTGGCCAACAATTTGTCAATATCCTCTTCAAAAAAGAGGAATTTGAATGAGCAAATAGTTGCTTGTAGAAATGTGAAAAGGGTGGAAATGCTTGATCTGGGTTTGATTCTGCAATACATAATCCGTATTTTTTGTTGTTGCGGATACATAATCCGTATGAAGCTGCCTGGTTTCGTTTGTATGCAAAAGCCAAGTTCGCATCTGCTGTGGTTCGCTGAAATTTGAATTTTTATTAGCTTAAAAAATATACTTTAAACTCTTGTTTTATACCCTCTCCCAAAAAACAAAAAAACAAAATCATTTCAAAGAAAAAAGGAAAGATAAATAAATAATTATGGGCTCATGGCCGCGGGCCATGAATTACCTCTCTTTCTCATTTAAATTTCGCCCTCTTTTTCGATTTCAGTAGGGTTTTTCATTTCAAAACCCAAATTTTTTAAAAAAATAAGAAGGTGAACAAATAAATAAAGATAAAAACTAACTCTTCCATTTCATAATTTCTTCGACCTCACTCTCAAAAGTCCCGACAATCCAATCACTGGATTTTCCGGGAAATTGGATGTGGAGTTAGGTATAGCTTCTCATTAAGAGATAATAGAAAAAAGAAGGAAAGAAAAACCAAATCGGGAAAGTTGGGGGAGAAAGAGGGAGAATGAATATGAATTCAGGTTTGGATCCATCGATGGCGTTACTGGCAGCAAGTGGAGGTGACACTGTCAAGCTCTTTGATGTCTCGGTCAAGTCCGGCGATCCCTGCGTTTTGAGCTACACTCCTTCTCCTGGCTCCCATGTCAATTCGCTTAAGTGGAACCACACCAGTCAGTCACTACCTTCTCTCTTTCTCTCTTTCTCTCTCTCTCAATGGGATGATGGGTTATGGATTTCATATTGTTGGTTTTGATTTTTGTTATCTGTGTTTGTAAGAATTGAATATTATCAAGGTTTTTGTAAATGAGAAAGTTTTTGGTGAAAATAATCATAAAGTTCTTTTTTTTTTAAATAAAAAAAAATCCTGCATTTGTGTTGTTAATCAATGTGGGTTGTGATTTTTCAGATTTGGTGGTGGCTAGTGCTGGAGATGATAAGAAGATATCCTTGTGGAATAAGAATGGGAAGAGCATGGGCACCATTCCTGTGGCTGGAACCGACAGTGGAGACAACATTGAGGTAATTCACTCACAATTATATAATTCAAATAGACATGGTGTGTTAAAATGGTGTGACAGTGGAGACAATAGTACTTGAAAGACTGGGTTGGTTTAGTAGTTGATGTTCTGCTGGTTGAACTATTTATGCAGGAGTCTATATTGGCTCTCAGCTTCAGTAACAAGGTTTCTAGATACATATGTTCTGGTGGAAGTGGTCAGGTTGTAAGAATATGGGATTTGCAAAGAAAGCGCTGTATTAAATGGTTGAGGGGTCATTCTAGTACAATTACGGGTGCAATGTACAATTGCAAAGATGAGCACTTAGCTTCCATTAGTGTTGATGGAGATTTAATACTTCACAACCTTACATCTGGTGCAAGGACTGCTGAACTCAAGGACCCTAATGGACAGGTTGTCTTCTCATTGCATCTTTCCACTGATTATTACCCTGGTCTTTGTGGCTTTGAGTCCCTGGTTTCTGAGCTAATTGGTTATTTGCTGGTTTTTAAGACCAGGTACTAAGAGTGCTTGACTATTCCCGGATTAGCCGACACCTTTTGGTGACAGCAGGTGATGATGGGTCTGCACATTTGTGGGACACAACCGGTCGTAGCCCAAAGGTTTGCAGTATGTTAATGAATCTCTCTACATGTTTATTCAAAAACAAAAAAAAACAAAAAGTACCAACATCAATGCTTTACTGAGTCTTCTTGGTCTTTTGGGTTTACATTTCCGTTTGGGTCAATGGAAATTAAAAGTGTGTTCCCAGTTTATTTATATATGGAAAACAGGCTTTCATTTTGGTGATAGAAAGAGTCATATTTGAAGTAGAGAGAATTTTCATTCTGTATTTTGTCCAATTGTTCCTTCTTCCCAAACCCAAAGGAAGCATTGATCTTGTTCTTTGATAACATTAGCTGTCAAATTTACCCTTTGACAAAATACCTGTATTTCTTTCCTACTGATTCTTGTTTCTCTTAGTTTTTCATTTTGTGTTTGTAACTAAACTAGTTTTTCTTCTTTTCTTTCTTTTTCAAACCTTTTTTATGCAGGTTTCTTGGTTGAAGCAGCATTCTGCGCCAACTGCTGGTATCAGTTTCTCACCATCTAATGACAAGGTCTGATAAGTACACCTTAACTTTACATATTGCAGTCCATAATGTTTCCTTTCGGGTCGGTTCCTTGGCCGAGGGGGTTCCATTTTTTTTTCTTGATTCTGATTGATTGCCAACTCGAACCACTACGTTTAAGATGAAGGCTATTTTATCATTTTCTATGAAATAGTGAAGCTTTCTAAGGGTCAGAATGTCTGGAGAGAGATTAAGCATTGTGATATGGAAAATATTTTCCTCTTGACAGATGATTGCTACTGTTGGGCTTGATAAGAAGTTGTATACTTACGACTCAGGGTCTAGACGACATTCATCTTGTATTTCCTATGAGGCACCTTTCTCTTCATTGGCATTTAGAGATGATGGCTGGGTACTGGCAGCTGGAACAAGCAGTGGTCGTGTGGTGTTCTATGATGTCCGTGGTAAACCAGAACCTTTCACCGTTCTTCGTGCTTATAGTAGTTCAGAGGTCTCTCTCTCTCTCTCTCTCTCTCTCTCTCTCTCTCTCTCTCCTTTTTGTGGTCCTCCCCATCACTGTCTGATGCATAGTGTTGGCGCATCCTCATACAGAACGCATTCTTGTTTGCTTGCATTAGGCTCAGAAGATCCCTGCATAATCAGGGCACTGTTCCTTGAACAGCAGCTGAATAGAACTAAAGTGCTTTATCTCTGAAACATGCGAATTTTGGAGAAACTTGTGTTGTCTCTAAAAGTTTTGTCAATTTGTTTTCTAGCATTTTCATTTAAGACTATGCTGTTGTTAGTTTGTCATCACTAAGGATCAAGATGCCTTACCATTATCATCTAACACTATGCTGTTAGGGACATATATATTGTCTCTATGTCCCGATTCGAACTTTCTACCAATGCTGGTTAGGTGGATTTATCACAAGGATGTTCTCATAGGGACACAATAGGTCGTTAGCTTTTAACTAGCAGTCTACATGAATGACATGGTTCTGTTGAGCCAATAGATTTCAACTTTTTCTTGTATCAAAATTCTTAACTCTGTTTGTACTAATCGTTTACAGTATTCATCAGGCTGTTACAAGTCTATGCTGGCAAAGGTCAAAACCTGTCCTTGTAAACGAAAGCAATTGTACTGTTGAGACCGCTCTTTTAGGAGATGCTGTTGAAGATTCAATACTTATGCCTGACCCGCTTCCTTCTATGACCTCATCAAGCCTTCCTCTATCTATGGGAGTATCTAGTTCTCGAAATCCAGGCCGTTCAAGTTTATCTGCGGAGACATCTTCAGTTACAGCAGCTGGCAATGGATTTACTTCAAGCACACTTCATGTATCTACTGCAGAGGAGACGCCACATCGAGGCCATTTATGGCCAGGTGGAACATTGTCTAGATTGCATGCTCCTCGATCTACTTATAACTTCAAGGATGATATGGAGGTGTTCTCCCCTCTTGTGGATGTCCATCCAATCACACCTACACTTGACAAGCTGTGGGATGATCATGACAGATCAAAGAAGGACCATTTGCTTGCAGATAAGAAGCCTTCCTCACTTTTGTTTCCTTCGTCCAGTAGGAGATTTCCTTTTGCAGAGGATGGGGCGAGTGATCATCCAATATTTGACTGGAAGCCCAGCTCAAGTTCTAAACAGGTCTCACCTATCCAAATCTTTAGCTTTCTTGGATGAATGCGTAATGCAAATATTCATATTTTGAACTATAATGAGCAACTTTGGTGCAGGATGACACATTGTTCTGAATGATGATTTTGCTTTATTCCTTGGTGCAGGATGACACCAAATCGTCGTTTGCACTACTAGAATCAACTCCTGCTCCATCTTCCAAGAGTGAAGACTCATCCATCACCCCTCCAGAAGCTTGGGGTGGTGAGAGATTATCCGATAAGTATACTCACCTGCGTCAGCCAATCACTTTTCCATCTCGCTTTGGGATGTCGGCTCAGACGTCAGGATCAATTTTATCTGGATTACCGGATATGTCCTTAACAGCAAGTCTTACTAGTATTAGCTCTTCTGCAAATTTAGGCTCAAGTTATCCGAACTTGCGCACGAAAGATGTGTCTTCCAATCAGGAGACTTCATTAGGATTTCCAGAACACATTTCCTCGAGTGCCATGCCTATGTCCCCTGGTAACAAAGGCATCATGGGGCACCTTGATTCACCAACATCTTTGGCCCTGCCTCGGAGATTCTCTACTTATGCAGAGAGGATAAGCACTACATCTTTCTACAATGACAGAACATCCCTCGCAGTTGGTTCACCAAAAACAAAGAAAACAGGAGCTGAAGGCAGAGAAGAACTGTTGAACAGCTTGTTGTCAAAGTCAGATTCATCGACTGCCACAGAATCAGGGATTCTTCCAGCAATGAATGTATGGATAACATACTTATTAGATAACTAATTATCTGTTTTTTTTTTGGTTGGATAGATAAATGATTGTCGGGTTTTGCATTTAAATAGGCTATTTCAAAAAAAATAAAAAAAGAAAACAACATAGAGCAGGAAAGATTATTTTAGTGCTTTGGCATGGTACATTCTTTCACTTTTTGTGTTCTTAGTAACAAATGGGGTCCCGCTTGAAATGAGTGCTTTTGATTTTATGCTGCCATTCAAATTGGAAACCAGTAATAGAATCCATTAGGAGAAGCTATCACAGTTGTTTATCATGCTGCCTTTTTATATTGATACTAGATTATTATAGTTTACTGAACGACAATAATTGTGACAGGGTGGAAGTTCACATCTCCAAAATGTGCCTCAACAAGATCCACAGCAGGGAAATTCCTTTACATTTCAGATTTTTCAACGTACTCTGGAAGAAACTCTTGATTCTTTTCAGAAATCCATACACGAAGATATGAGGAACCTTCATATAGAAATTTTAAGACAATTTCATATGCAAGAGGTATGCAACTGCTATCTTCTTGTTCTCTTTTTGTTTTCGTTTAGTTCCTCATTCATTTTCTGTAACCATTACACAGATGGAAACGTCAAATGTGATGAGTGCAATTCTGGAAAACCAAGCTGAGCTGATGAAAGAAGTTAAGTCTCTCCGGAAAGAAAACCAGCAGCTCCGGCAATTGCTTTGAGCACCGGTGAAGATTGTATTATTGTTTCAATTTTTATTTTTGTGGATTTGGGATATGTATGTTGTTTCTGTTTTATAATTTGCTCTTCATCAGTGGGCTTTTGTTCTATAGGTAGACTAGAATTGCCCCTCTCAGCCGGTGGGGTGGGGATAAAAGAAAAAAGGTAGAAATGCAAGTGTTATAGGAAGTAGAGTTTGTGAACATGTACAGATGTGATCATTTCATGCTAATGAATGAAAGCTTTGATTTCGGTGAACAATCACGAGTACGATGTTTCAGCTATTATGCAGTTTTTATTTTTTTCCTCTTTTTCCTTTTCTTCCCTGTGGTGTTCAAGCTGCTTTGTCTACCTGATTTCTCTTTGAACTCCTTGCTCGCCCACAAAATCTCTTAGATATGAGTGCAGGATCATATTGGAGTCGAAACAAGTACAGGATCATGGTTTGGGAATTTTGTTGTACGTTATGGGAGAATTCTAAGGGGTGTATAGTTAAAATGGTTTGCTTCTAAAGAACACAATTGAATTTGCAAACTTATTGTCTTTTATTCAAGAAATCTGTCGACAAAGAATTGAAAAGTCAATGACCTTAATAAGGTGTTGTGGTTTAACCGATATAAGGGTGTGGAAATAGCCCCACTCTCAAACAAAATGCCGCGTAAATTTAAGTCACTATCTTTGATTCAACTGTACACACCCGACTTGAAATCTGCAGCATTTCAGAACACACAGCTGTAGAATAGAAGCCCGTCAGCATTTAACCACGGTGGAGGAGTTAGAATGGTCCACGGCTTTTTCCCATGACTTCATGAATACCAGAACATGTTGCAGTTAGAAGGACATGCAAATAGGGGGCTTCAGCTTGGTACTACGCCTCACTTCTTGATTAATTTCAACACATCACCGATGAGATGTAAAGAACCGGTTACGAGGACCTGATAAGTACACCAGAAATATTTGAATTCGGGATAGAAGCAGGAGTAAGATTTATACATTTCAAGGTCACCAAAAATCGTATATGATCATAAGAAACACAATGCATAGCATTACCTGAAAACGAACAGACTGACTTTTTCGGACACTGTCCCTGAGCCATTTTATAGCTGACGGGAGAGAGGGGAAGACTGCACTATTTTCACAACTTCTGACAGCCATTTCCGTATCATCTGTTAGTTCTTCAAAAACAGCGCCTGTGCTCTTCTCATTACCTCCTGCTAAAGTTAAAAAAGAGAAACACTTCAGACTGAGAAATACAAAGAACCTACAGTGCACCCCAGAATTATGATCCACGTACATTTTGATTGAAAACCAAGGTAAAAGAGAACAACTTAATTGACATTTTATGTTATAACTCACTTACCTTTGTCACCCAGCATTAGGTTTTCCCAAACTCTTTGAAGAGCGAACTGCCATGACAAATCAACTTGAGAATCTGTCGCAGGTAAGGAATGTGAACCCACCTTGTTATACACTGATGTGTTTGGTACAAATAGAGCCTTCTTGAAGTAGACACCTAAGATATCAACCAAAGTGCCATAAATTCCTTTGAAAATAGAAACTGTATTTACAGAAACTTTATTGAAAATCCGATCAACAATTAAGGTTCTGACACCAATCAAGAGTAAAATTATCCATACTCTAAGTTCATCACCAATAAACTCATTGTGGATCTAAATTCCATGCACTTTATCATTTTTACGTACTAATAATTCTTAATCTATAAATTCATTTTAGATCTTTAAAGTTCACTGGATGGTAATATTTCTCTACAAAAATTGAGGAAATCGCATCAAATAATGCTTCTTGATGCTCACCATGACTAGCACATGTTTTCATCAGGTTTGGAAGAAGCAACTGAGGATCCCTCACTGACATACAATTAAACAGCAGTATCTGCAAGTATTTTTCAAGAATTTTTCTCAGTAATAGCAAGAAGAAAATGAAGCATCTCCAAGGCTTGATTTTTAATACTATAATATTAAAAAACATATTTGACTATTTATAAAAAAATTGATCTTCCCAGTGAGATGTTCATGTCAACTCAGGATGCAAGGCTATTAATTCTAAACCAAATGTAAATTGAAAATTTGGATATATGATGAAGTCTCCTGATCCAATCATAAAATCAGCATGCACCCTATAAAGCACAAAATTGCACAAGAAAGTGGATACAAATACCTAGCAAAAAAAGGAATTGAAAGCCCATCGACTAAGTGATGATCAAGAGTTTTGTGCTCTACCTGTGTTGAATTCTTCCTGGATTTTCCATCAGGGTTCCTCTGTACCAAATCATGTGATGATCTGGAAGTATCCAGTGGCTGACAACTCAAGATTTTTTCCTGGGAGTCATCCTTAATGGAAAGAGAGAACCATCTTGCGCATATTTCCATGCTTTCTGGGCTATGGGCACCATCCAAATAGAACACAAGATCTTCAGGGCTTTCATTGTTATCAGGGACAATTTGAGCCCGTCCTTGTAAACTGACTGTAGCAGTTAGTCCTTTTATGAACTGCTCTGGCAGAGAGGTCTATTCCATCCGAATATTTATATAAATCAATCAACATAAAAATCAAGAATGAAAAGAAGAACTGATCGCTCATAGAACTTACAGTATGTTCTGGGTATGGGACTTCAAGATGACCTGTCCTCTGAAGCCACGTAGAGGACAGTGCAATAGCGAGACCAGCATTAACATATTGGTGCTCCCCTTCAAGCCCAAGTTTGAAGCCATTCAGTAAATTGGCATCCAAAGGTCGTACCAGTTGAAGAGGTACCTGGAACCAGCATGATTTTCTAAGCCCATTGAAGGAGGTGTACTGTTTGTTTTCTATTTGGCTCTAAACAAAATAACTGCTTCAATAATGAATTAAAAACAGCTAAATTTGACTTGGCACAGTTTAACTCCCTAAACGGTTGAGGATATTGTTTCCTTGATATTGTAGAAAAAGATGTTACGTAAATCCTTAGAATATGGCCAAAACCCTAGTACAAGAACAGCATCTCTCAATTACAGAAAGGCCTCAAGTTCCTTCCAACATGGTAATTATGACTTAGCAACTTCGTAGTCAGTAATGAACCTATATTTAGAATCCTAGGACTTCTGATAAACAATTCTATTAACCAGTATCATTAGGTTTGCAAAACAACGCAAGTTGAGGCTTAAGCAGCAGAGGACACTTATCGCTTAAACATATCAAACTTTTAATATGGAACCAAGAACTGTATCATGCATTTTCAAGTTCTGTGGGAAACTAAATCAATGAAGGGTAACATCCTGCAACCTACATTCAACTCAGAAGCCTTCTCTTCCAGTACACACATTGCTTCATCAGGTTGGGACACAGTCAAGGCAGGAACCCCAGGCTGAAGTGAAAGAAAAATAAAAATGGACACAGTAATGGAAGTGAGTGTAAGTTCTGTCAAACATATTGCCAGTCATCATATGCTTTCAGGAAATGTAATTTTAAGGAGAACCTTGAAGATTCCAGCCTTCTCCCCAGCAATTGCTCCCAGAGTATTTCCTATGTATAGTATCCAGCAAAGAAAAGAAAAGCAATCATGCGTGTTAGACATAACTAATTTCAGAGCGGTGTAAACCTTGAGTAAATATGCGTGTTAGACATACATGTATGGGGAAATGTTCTCTTGTGGATATCTGCTATGTCATGTTGTCAAAGAGACAATTTGGACCACACATTCAAACAAGAATCCCCTTAATTAATAGTCCAAATTGACAGTTCGATAGCATAACAAACCAAACTATTAGGCAAGAGAGCATTTTCCAACATATATTATATTTGTCATGATTATAGTATCCAAAAGATAATTGTGTCACATTGCAAATACAGAAAACATTTGCATATGTTTCTTTATAATTGTATCTTCAATTAAATGTATCAATTACTCACATGTAATTACGTAGGTTTGAGAAGGAGAAAACTAACCAAGAATCTCCATGTGGTCATATCCAAGGGAAGATACACCACAAACAACAGGTGCCTTAACCTGAAATGTTAAGGCATCTACACTTAGTTATTTCCAAAGTAACTGAATTAATGGAATTTGTACTCAAATACCATTATACATACCACATTTGTTGCATCATACTTTCCACCTAACCCAACCTCCAAGATAGCAACATCTACCTGCATGGAAGATTAAATTAAAAGCAATATTTCTGATTCACCATTGATATCAAGAACAGTTCGGACAGGAAGGATTATAGATGAAAGCAACTAAAAAGATATGTATCAAACCTCTTCTGCTGCAAATATCTTGAAGGCAAGCAAGGCAAGGAAGCGAAAGTAGGAAGGCATTGGTATATCATCACTAGCTTTTTCCTGCATTTGAGATACACACACTTTGAGATAACCATCATGATTAAACAATTTAGGCAAAAACATTGAAAGAAAAAAGTTTGGGATAGAAGATAAGACAACATTTTACATCGATCAATATATAGTAGCATGAAAACGTGCTAATTCAAAAATATAAACACAGGCATAGAAAGGTTAAAAAGACGTCCAACAAAGATAACATGAATCAAACATGGATTACCTTTAGTCTCTCAAAACACCACCAGAAATATGCTAAAAATTTCTCTTCGCTGATGTCCACACTGTACCATCCAACGAGAACAAGGAAATTTAATCAACGACAAATCTAGAAGGCTACAGACAGAATAAAAATTCACTATGCTCTGTACTTCAAAGAACAAAAAGCACTAGATACTTAAGCAGTTCCAAAACTTGCAATAAGCACGCAAACATGAAATGGAACAGATGAACAATGACTTGATAACTATAACAACCGAGCAACTTCTTCAAAAATGATAGCTTTATTTGAATTTCAAATAAAAACAATAGTGCAAAGAAAAACATAAAATAATAATGATAATACATAAAATTTACTTGTTAACATGGAAGTTATATAATATTACATCCATGCTAATATGAAACTCACCCATCCAAACGAAATCTTTCTCGAACATCAATGAGATGAGGAGATGTGAAAAGTCCTGTGCGAAAGCCACAATGGCGTAATATTGATTCTGTGAAGGTGCAGGTAGATCCCTTTTGCAACGCCCAAAAAGAAGAAAAGAATAATGAGTCCCATATCATACAGCAATAAGTGACTAAGCCAGTCTAAGTACAGAACCACACTACAAAGAGATGCTCTATGAAAGATAAATTAAGAACTGAAAACAGGATAACAGAATTTGTGCACAAAAAATTTGCTATCTTGTTTAATCAGTTAGAAGAAAAATTCGAAGAGCATGGTAGAAAAACTGGAGAGTGACCAAAACAAAAAATTTGCTACTGTGGTAAGATTGATACACAAAGCAAGAGTTGGTTCACTTTCTCATACCAAAGTAAAATTATTTGCGTTCTCTAAGAAAAAAATAATAATAACAAGAAGATGCAAAATGAGTACCTTTCCTTTGGTGCCAGCCACATGAATAATCTTCAACTGTGAAATTGGCTCCTCTAACTCTAGTATCTACACAAATTGAATTTTTGGCTCCATTTGCCATGAATTTACTTGTAGATATCAGTTCAAATATGAAAGTATGTAATTTGGGAAGTAAAGAAAATTACTTTGAGATAGTCAGATAGCAGTTCGAAGCAGTCCCCGTTGTTGCTCGTATCGGCACGACTGCGTTTAGTGATTAAGGAGGACAAAGCATCCAATGCCTCTTCATAAGGAGTTGGTTTCGAAGAGCCATCGCCACCTTCAAAAGTCAGACATGCATAATTTAATACCACTAACAGAGACATGAACAGCAACAAATGGATAGCAGAAGAAGGCGATGGTGGGTTGTGTTGTATTTACCTTCTCCCATGGCGACTTGGGTTGGTTTAGATCTGAATCAAATAGAAAGTTACATATATATAAAAGATGGGTATTTATGCAGAACAAGATTATGGGATTGGGGTTGAAAGGTGGAAAACTAAGGAAGTAAGGAACAAGACATGGTGATGACGAGCGACCGAAACAAACCACTTCGCAGTGCGTTGGATTTCTTCCGACTATCTTATTTTTTTTTTTTTTTTTTTTTTTTTTTTTTTTTTTTTTTTTTTTTTTTTTTTTTTTTTTTCTTTACCTGCCGTTAGATTCCAACCAAATAAATGATTCAACCCTTAATTAAATAAAATTAAATAAAAAAAACTGTCCAAATTTCAAATATACCATAAAAAGTCAAATGAAGGCTGTTAATTTCATTTATTATTTTACTTTTTTTTTTTCTTTATCTTGAATGATTTAACTGTTATAATAATTATTTATTTAACATATCGTGTGGAGTGTAAAATTATGTAAATGTCAAATTGTCACATTAGCCATTAAATTTAAATTTGATATTTGATATTTGACATCTCCCTTGGAGATGCTCTAATATGCTAAGCTCATACACACTAAACAAATGCTATGATTTGATCTCAGAACCTTATCTGAAGGAACAATTACTCTAAACCACTATATTAATGGGTTTTTTGCAATGTCTCGATCTTAAACATAAAGAAGTTTTGTCCAAACATTGTTTAATTTTATGTATAAATTCTCTTATGTGTACCACAAAACTATATAATTTGTGTTTCATTACTTATGAAAATAAATGAGCAAACCAAATGGGACACTAAGTAAATAGTTTGATTTAGTTATTTGAGACGTTGCCAAACCAATCGGAATCATGATTATTACATTTGGTTGACCCCAAAAAAAAAAAGAACCGAACCAAACTTAACCACGTACAGGCTAATACATTGTGCCTCTCGAGTCCCATCCATCCATTGTGAAAGGCTTGTCCTTCATGATGTTCCTAATAGGGCTCAACCCAAGTTCCCAACCATATCAAGCGGTGAGTAGAATCTCAATCAGCTTAAAATTACTTACATACATACATATACTCTCTAAACAAACTGACAAAATTCATTCCATCCGTACATCATCATCCAACAGCGATTAGAATCTCTAAGCCGATTCTCTCCGCACGTATCTGATGGTGTGCCGTCTCAACCACAGCTGATACATCAACGTATGAAACGAATCCAACGGCTGCGGTGTCTCATTCCACACAAAATGCCGACTCGCAGTCACGCCCAACCCCTTCATTTTCTCATGCCGGTCCCCACACGTGCGAGCCAGCACACGCTTTAGTTCCCCAACCTCTCTACGTTCCACGAATACCGCGATCTCCTGCCACCTCAGCACGTCCGAGAACGGCAGGTCCTGTATCGGACGGTCAGTAACCACCGCGGGCACACACCCGAAACGCAACGCCTCGCCGATACCCGAAACGTCGCCTCCTCCATACTCGAACAAACAGAACTTACTGCTGGCGATTCTCTCCGCATAAGAATTCAGATCCGACGGTTCGGATTCGATCAGAAACTCCGGGTCGCTGCTCAATTCGTTGACCAACGTTGACTCCTTTAGCCAATTGAACCTGGCGTAGCCCAAAAACCTCGTCGTTTTGTTTGTTGGTGCGTGAGAGCTCGCGAGCGGAGGGAGGGAAATGTCCTTGTGAGGTATGAACTTACCGGCCGGCGTCGGAAAGCACGAGATCTGGACCGAGTTTTTCTTGAGCTCGACGAGATTTCGGTCCGATTCGTACCCGATACCGGCACAGGACAGGTAAAAATGGTCAGCTCCGAGGGTGCGGTTCCAGTAGGGAAGATCATTGCGAAGGCCTCTGATGAGACGCGCGATGGAGCGCGTGGAGAGATCGGAAGGGAAGGGGACGAAGAAGAGGTGGGCTTGCTCGGCGTCTTGGGTGACGAAGGCGCTATCTTGGAGAGTCAGAGTGGTGTAGAAGAGGGACTGAGATGGAGAGTTGAAGGTGAAGGGCGTGTTAGGGTTGTAGATGAAGATTTTGAAAGATTTGAGCATGTTTTGGTAGTTTGGGAAGATTGTGGTGGGTGAGAGGTATGGGGAAGGGAGATGGGGTTTGGAGTGAGTGGTGAGGAAGGTGAAGAGAGAGAAGTAGAGGAGAAGGAAAATGGAGGTGAGTGACATTTTTGGAAAACCAAACGATGCCTTAATTGGAGTGAACTAACTCACTCAGACTGTATCCCTAGTTTTTTGGTTTAGAAATGCAGTAGGTAATGCAAGAGGTTGAAGACGAAGCCTAACTGCCAAAATGCCCGACGAAGCAGGGTAATGTGGGCAAGGTTGTATCTCGTGTTCTTCAATTATTTTATGATTTGTAACAAAGACTGATTGAAACAATAAGATTATGAATGGGCCTCGTATCATACGCTTATGAATATATTTATTAACTAAATAACGGTTTTATAAGCTACTTGTAATTATTAATTGAGATATTTGTGGAACAATTATTATTCATAAAGTGCAAAGCATATTCATGTAACTCCATATCGTTTGATGAATACGGTTGTAAAGCCGAGCGGCTATACTATGTTTTATAAAATAATAAAATAAAAAATCGGCTAAAAAAACCAGAGCAGCGGCAAAGTGCCTAGGTGCCCACGCGTAAAACAGTATAGCCGCCCACGCGTAAAACAGTATAGCTGCGCGGCTATACTGTTTTAAAAAAACTGACTATAGCTGTGCGGCTATACTATTTTTAACTACAAAAAAGAGGATCCCAACGATTATGCGCCACGTGTCAAAACAAGTCTACTTCTTTACAACAAATTAAAAACACGGTGCATAGCCGTGTGGCTGTATTATTTTTTAAATAAAAATGAGAACCCTCTAGCGATTAGGTGCCACGTGTCAAAAATAAGTATAGCCGCCGGCTATACCATTTAAGTACATTATATTTAAAACTTCTATACTATTTAATTAAAAAATTAAGAAAAAGGACCCTCCTAATTGCATTAGTTTGTACTTTATAATTATTAATTTGTTAGTTTCAACGTATCCAAAGTAAATATCAATCGGCCACTATATAACATTTTAATATAATTTGTATAACATATATTGTTCTTATTTAATAATATGTGAGAATTATTTGTATAATATGCGAATTTTGTGTGTTTTACTGAAATTTTGTAAAAAATATGCGTATTAAGCATTAGAAATACTTACGTACATGTACAATACAACTATTGTAAGTTTGCTCTTTTAAAAACGGGAGACGTGTATAGAACACAAATGTATTATTTAAAAATACTTACGTACATATATATATATATATAAAAGACTATGGTCGCTGGTCTATACTATTTATTGAAGACAATTAAAAAGAACTAGTACAGCCGGGCGGCTATACGATTTTTAAAAAGAACATAAAAAAAGGTAGTATAGCCGCACGGCTAAACTATTTACTATATTAAAAAAGAGAAACAGCACAGCGCTTAGGCGCTCACGTGTAAAATCGTAAAGCCGTGCGGCTATACTGTATAGCAAAAGTTTAAAACTGAGTATAGCCGTGTGGCGGTACTAGTTTTTAATATAAAATAGAGAACCCCCAATTAGGCACCACGTGTCAAAACAAATCTACTTAAAAAAATACAAACAAAGAGTATAGGCGTGCGGCCGTACTATTTGTTGCTCTAACCTAATTTAAGATGTATTGTTAATGGGGTCTAGTCCCATGGGAAAGGGTTTAGGCTTGCAAAAAAGTAATATTATGTTTGAACCTCCATGACACATTGATAATGTGTGTTTGAGAAACCCTATCTTCTTATAGTTTAGACTATTACTTGTATTATAAATAAATAAATAAAGTTGCAAAGCATATTTATACATCCCTATTTCTTGACAAAGCGTTCTAATCTAATATACAAAATATATTCAAACAACCCCATATATTTTGTCAAAGTGTTTTTCTAAGTTCATACATAATATAGAGGGAGATGGATCAAACTCAAGTGCAAGAGGACGAGCACACTATCTTGATCAATTAGCATAATTCATATTTAAATACAATCCTATGTCACTAAAATATAAAAATACAATAACAAGAATCAAAGCGTAATGGAAGTTGGTGAAGGTAGGTGGAGGCGATGAAGCTTGATGGAAGTTGATAGACTCTACAAAACTAATGGAGACAATTAAGGCCAATTAACAGCTATGCTTAATGTATAATTACCCGTCCCAAAATAAAAAGAAATCTTGTAACCTTTTTTCATGAATCATGATATGATTGGTTATTGATATATAATAATATTTGTAAAAGTTAATAAACAGCCGTCTGGGTGGTGTAGTTGGTTATCACGTTAGTCTCACACACTAAAGGTCCCCGGTTCGAACCCGGGCTCAGACACTTTTTTTAAATTTCTTTTTATTTTTTATTTTTTATTTTTTTCCAGTTGATTTCTGATGGGCCTGAAATTGGAGCAGGCTTATGTGAAACCGCCCAAAAAGCTCATGTGATACCCATCACCCAGTCACGTGCAACAGTTGGAAAGCAAAAGTAAACGCGCGCGCACAAACGACGAATTAAGAGGCGCGTGGCGGTACAGCTGGCGAACTTATACCGGTCAGTCTCTCGTTCTCTGTGTTCCTTCCAATTTACGAAAAGCAACGTCTAGGGCTCGTCTCTGCGTCAGTTTCAGAGCTCTCCAGAGACCTCGAGCCCGTAATCTCAATCCAAGTCTCTGCCCTCCGACTCTCTGAGCTACAAAGCAGAGCTTCTCTCTCGCTTCCTTTGTGTTAGGGTTTTCTTCTCAATGGACGAGTCCTACGCTGGCCTCCCTACCAGCCATTTACTCGGCTCAGTCCCTGTAAGTTCTGATTGATTTTATTTTTGTTTAATTTTATATAATTCGCGTGCACAAATTCACGAATCTTCAAATCGACCTTGTTTGCTTGGAAAAGGTCAATTAACTTTATCTAGATTCTCTTTGCGTAAATGTTACTGTAAATTGTAAGCTACCTTCTCGTTCTGTTTGTTTCCTGAGAAAATGAGGGAAAGTAAAGGAGAGGAAAGAAAATTTGTAGTCCTAGATGATCAATAGCTTAGATACATTGTCGGTATAATTTTTCTTCTCCTTGAAAATTTTACCCCTTTTTCTGAGCTGTCGTGTGTAGCTTACAATTAGTTATAGTTTAAATTAAGCTACCTATAGAAAATGTAATTACATTCTGTTCGGAAACTTCTTAGTAACTCTTCTTTTTCAGAAAGATTTTAATTAATGCACCGCCCTTTCTCTTTTTGGATCATATCCTTTTGAGCTGACTTCTTTAATAATGAAAGAGTAGCTTCTTTTACGAACTTGCTTCCGATGTGCTTATACTAGGCCACTCAAAGTAGTTGTAGTCCTTTTTGTTGTTGTTGTTTCCCTTTTCTGATATTGAATAAATTACACATTCTTTGGTTTACCTTTTTATTTTTTATTTTTCTCATTTTCGATAGGCTGTCGTAAGTGAAGATAAAGATAAGAATACCACAAGCTATGAAGGTATGAGACTTGCCCGCTCTTTTCTAAATTGTTTCCTAGTTTCTAATTTATCTCAATACTTTATTCTTCACATTTAAAGGTTCACCTCAATCATTTTTTCCCCCTACTTTGAAGAATTTTCTCTGAATTCATGCAGCACCTGAAGCTAACTTGCAAATCTTCCCCCCAAATAATGGAGGAGAGAAAGGGCGTGGTTATCAAACTGTTGGAAGTACAAGTGGTATGACATTCAAATTTATAATTTACATTCAAGTGTTTTATATATGGGTTTTATCTCTTAAGAATACAGAGTAGAACTTAGTTGCCCAATCATCCTCATTTTTTTCTGGAGAATTTAGTATTTTGGGTGCTTTTTAGGTACACTAAAACAACTTTGTAACAGACTAAGAGTGTTAAATTTGGTTGCCATAAAAGGATGAAACTAAAATTAATCAGTAGCGAAACTAAAATTAATCAGTAGCGGAACAAAATTTGGAGACATTTTCTACTTTCTATACTGCACGTTGTTCTTGGGGAGTTCCGAAGTATTTGACCTGTAGTTTTTCTTCATTGCAGATTGAAGTTTAGGAGTGTCCTTGTGACTCTGTATGAGTTTTCATTTACGATATTAAAGTTCTTATGCTTTCTTGTAACTGTGCTGTGTTATCTTCCCCAAATTATGTAGATGGGGCTTTAGAAATGAAAGACAAAAATATATATAACTCTGAAGAAATACATATATTTGATACATTTTCTTGTGTTCATCACCTTACTATTCTCTCTATCTAGCAATTTGGTGACACAGAGTGGTTTTCAATTGCAAATTTGCAGGTTACCATATCAAATAGAATTTTTTAGAGTTTGTACTCTTGAACTTGACTTCCTTGTTTTATATCTGGTGCATACGTTTGAAAGGCATTGTCATCTTTCATGAGAGTGTAATACTTTTTCACTTTATTTTGAATTGAGTGGCAGTAGGAGTGTGGTTTACTGATGTAATAGTTTTGATTTTGACCATATCTACGTCTTACGTGCATACTTAATCTATTGCTTGTTTGGGCCATCAAATCAAATTTTGAAAGGATTTCTGGTGGATTTTCTCCTCTCTTTTTTTCTTTTTCTTTCTATGTATATTTAACCTGCCTTAAAAAAACGTAACTATTTTTCCCTCTTAACTCTGTACAGTTGCATATTGATTTCATTTGCAATGCCTGCCACTTTTTCTACTGTTTTAATGACCTCTCGTTCTGTCTATCCATGCAGAAACATTTGAACAGCAACCGGCGAACAACTGGAGAGGAGTATTTAATATCTCATCATACACACAATACTTCAATGTGGATACGGACGTTGTCTTAAACAGATTGCTTAGTTCTTTATATCCCCATGGTGGAGATTTTTTCAGCAAAATTGATGCCAACCCTGATTTGTGAGTTTCTGATATTTGGTTTCTCATATATTATATACGCACTTTCACTACTAATTAAGAAAGACAGAATCATGAGCCTCAGTATCTTTAAAGAGTTCGATATTCTCATGTAGGCTTTTGGATGTAGTTCGCTGTCACTCTTATGCTTGTATTCATTTTTAAAATCTGGTAACCCTATATCATACCGTTATATACAAATTGAGAATATACAATGCCCTTTTCTCTAGATCTATAAATTTTCAACTGGTAGAATTCTTCAATTTGCATGCTGTCTTTCTATAAGACTGTCACATGTAATTCATCATGGTTAAAATCGGATCATTGGATTTTGAGTTATAAGTTTGCATTGTCTCATCTGTAAGCATTATGTTAATCAGAAGGAGGAAATGTAGCTACATGTAAAAAAGGTGGAGTAGCTAATCATATTGCAGTATTTTTTTTAATTGATACAGCAGTGAGTTAACATGAGCATATAATATTTGGCTTTTTTTGTGTGAATTTTTGTAATGTGTCAGATATGGGCTAATCTGGATCTCCACTACGTTAGTGTTTGTGCTTGCTGCACTTGGAAACTGTGCCACCTACCTCATGGAAAAGCACAGTGATAGCAGTACTTCTTGGGCCTTTAATGTCAGTTATATGAATTTGGCAGCTTTTTCAGTCTACGGTTATGCAATTTTGGTGCCATTGGCATTTTATTTCTTGCTCCACTATCTGGGCTCAAATGCCAGCCTTGTTCGATTTTGGTGTATGTGGGGATACTCTCTCTTCATATTTGTTTTAGCCTCTGTAAGTACATGCCTTCTCTGCTTTGATGTCAGTTTTGTCTTTTGTTTTTCCCCTTTTTTGACTCTCCAATTCAATGTTATTAAACCATTGGAAGGACAATGGCAGAAATAAGTAAATTCTTTTGACCAAAAGAAAGAAAAAGAAAGAAGGTAAAATCTTCTTATGCAGAGGTGCTCAATCGGAACCCAAGTTCTGTTTAAGCTCAGATTAGAAACACAATAAAATTCTGTTTGAGCTAAAATATTTTAACTTCCTGGTCTTGGGGGTAAACAAGATTGACCGAACAATTCATCAAGGGCATTTCTTGCTCCCAGGTCACCTTTATGTATTTTGATTGCCAACCCAAATATCGTCTTACCCAAAAGGGAGAAATCCTATTCCTGGGTGAAAGTTATTAATTTATAACTTATAATATGTTATTCTTGTAATCATCTGATACTTATTTCCCTGGACTATTCAGTTTTTGTTGCTTATCCCGGTTGAGGCTTTCCGGTGGATCATTATAATTCTTGTTGGTGCTGCCTCCTCATGCTTTGTTGCCTTCAATCTCAAGACTTATATCGAAGGGAATGATATTGTGGTGATTGCCGCATTTCTCTTGCAACTGGCTCTGGCAATCTTCTTTAAGGTCTACTTCTTTCCGTGAGTGTTTCTAAGTGCAGTCAGTCTCTGAATTCTGAATTTCAAACAACCACATTCACTTGATTTCGAGGGTATTTGATTTAGGCATTGACTGGAATGGCACTTCTCTAGAGGTGGGGTTTTCCTGTGTGTTCAAATTACTCACTTGGTTGTATTGTAAGTTCATTGAAGAGCTCGTGACATGGCGTGGTTTAAATTTTTTGAAGAGATAAAAGTGTGGCTCTAATGAGTAGGACTTAGTTTGTATCAGCTGGTTTTGTATTGGCTCAAGTAGAGAGAGCATATATTGGTATTTGTATTTCACGCTTTTTCTCAATCTTAGAATTTTTCTCCATCAAACCTGAGTCTGTAAATAAATAAGGTCTTCAGAGAAACTGTTGTGGTAATCTTCACATCAAGTTGATTTCTTATCTACTCTTAACAAGATGAATATTTTTTAGCTATCAAGAAAACTGGTTCCTCCTTGAAAAGAAGAAGGGCCAAATAGGAAAATACTTTCCTCATTCCTCCGTAAGTAGGAATTCCTACATTCCTATCAATGGTAGTTTGAACATGTATGATTTGCAGGGAGGAGGATCTCCTTCCATGAAAGGAAGCAAGCAATATCCGGGCTAATATCCTTAGCGCACGCAGCAGGATAAATTTGTGGTAAAGTAGAATTCGTATAAGTCTGAAGGGCGGTGGGACTTCATTGTCTTCAAACTTTAAAGACGCGCCCCAATCTAACGTGTGTAATTTTACGGCCTGCTGTACAAAGCAACAAAACTTACGAGCTTGACCATTCTTGGTTGAAGCAGACAGGAGATAGGATCAAAACCTTAGCAGCCCAATCTTTTTCCAACTTGTGGAAATTTAAAACAGATCTGCAGATGCAGCAATTGTTTTATTATCCTTATCGGGTAGATTTGGTGAAGAAAATAGTATGTTTCCCCTCGACTTTTATATGTTGATGATAATAGCATGATTGTTTTGAAGTGATCTGTCACAAACTTTCGACACAAAATATCAGTGGGATGCGGAAAATGGACGATTTTAGAAAAAGGCAACTTGATCAGGCATTGATTGGTACACATGGTTCGTTTGATTGCGTTCCGTTACGAACCCGAACTCCATATTGTTTAGTGGAGACAAGTTTTCGTGGAAGAAAACGAACCCTTTCCGTGAATTTGTTTTGGTAAAGTATAAAACGCTTCCAATGTGTGTTCTTTTTCGGTTAGTGAAAACGTGGAAAATGTTTGTGTGGGTAAAGAAAGCACTTTCCCTTGTGCAGATGTCCGAATTTAGTCAAATAAATCTCTCCTAGTTGTCAACTTTTCTGAGTCTATCAGATAAAAAGATGGGTGAAAAAAAAAAAAGGAATATTCATACAGAGTTGGTTTGAACTTTGATTCAATATGAGACCCAATACAGATTTGAAATATTTATGCAAATAATATAGGAAAGGTATTAGTTTTTGTGAAAAGTCTATAATAGGGGCTCCAATCCCACCATCATCAACAAATGCAAAAAAATCATTGATATTTTATGATAAACAAGCTATAGTGACCAACGAGGTATAGTCTAGTGAAAAAGAGTCTTGACTTGCAGATTAGATGTTTCAGGTTTGAATCCATACAACATCATAGTTGTGTGTGTGAGTGAGAAATCCCCCTCTCTTATAGTTTAGACTACTGCTTCTACTATATTAAAAAAATATATATGTCAAACATTTATTATATGATTTTTGGGACATCCAAGCCCTAATTATTGGAAGTTAAATGCTGAAATGGATCCAAATCTTATTATTTATACAATTTCACTAGTTTGTAACTTTTGTTTCGTCATAACAAAAAATAATTTGAAATGCTGGTCATTCGGCTAGAATATGCTAAAATGATTAAGATGAAGTAATTCAATCGGAGTTTTTAAACGTAGAAATTCATATATTGACACTTAATGAATTAAATATGGACATACAATTTTAGAAGAAAAAGAAACTTATATGCTTTGAATTAGAACAAAATTATTCCAATTAAAAATATTATTAACCCCTTGATTGATCAAATGTGGATTGTTAATTATTACGGGGTGCTACATGATTGACCTAATCATTTTAGCGGTTGCGCTGGCCAGCAAAACCGAGAACGTCTCTGAATCAGACCAGACCAACCTGCATGACATGGATCTATCACCGTGAATTTCTTTTGTCGTTCTCGACATATCTTTGTCGTGTTTTCCACTACACATGTTCGCCTCTGCGCGCGTCATACGGCCGTTCCTTAACAGGCCCTCCCCAACCCTATAACCCATCACCACCAACATTAAACTGACACGTAGCGTTTTCCTCATCCAAGTTTACCATATTACCCTTACCCACCAGCCCACGACATCGTCTCATTGGCGGCAAGCGAACTGAAAGTGGCTGAGGTTGACTATTTGACTTTGCCTCGGACTCTACTGCACTGTGGTGATACCAGTATAAATATCTTTAACCAAGAAGCGACGTCTGCATCTCCAAACACTCTCATCACATAGAAAAAGGAAAACAGACACCGCGCGCTTCCGAGTCGCCTCGTTCTCAGAAGTGAGTTTGACTCGCCCCGGACCTGTCTGTTGTCATTTCAGCCATGGACGAAGTGGATCGTTCTCGAGCTTTTCTCAAAGACGTTAAGCGCATCGTTCTCAAGGTTTATATATATATAATCATTCTCTAACTCCTTCATTTCTCAAATTATTTTTGTCATTTTTCGAAAAAATTGTTAATTTCCATTTATAATTAAGTTATACAGCTCAAAATGAGCTCATATTTAGCAAAGCTGAAGTCTTTTTGCTAGCATCTTTTGTGATTTTAGACATTAAATTTTTGTTGATGTTGAGCTTTGATTGCTGAAGGTTGGGACTGCGGTTGTGACTCGAAACGATGGAAGAATTGCGCTGGGAAGATTAGGCGCGCTGTGTGAGCAGGTATGGCGGAATAGTTTTATATGTAGGCAGCAAAAATAGACTTGTTTGAGTTTTTTCATTTTATTGATTTTTCATATAATTGAGCATGTGTTGGGTCTGAAAATATTAATTGGCATGAAATGCAGCTCAAGGAGTTGAACTCTCAAGGATATGAGGTGATATTGGTGTCATCAGGAGCGGTGGGCCTCGGTCGTCAGAGGCTTAGATACAGGAAATTAGTGAACAGCAGGTTAGTATTGTGTCCCCGATTAATGGACATTGCTGCCATTTTTGGAGAAATTTTTTTGACAGAGTTGAATTTATGAAATTTAAGAAAATTTTCCGAAGATGCTATTATGTCAAAAGAAAAACTTGGGTTATAGATTGATGATTATTGGTTTTTTGCAGTTTTGCTGATCTGCAAAAACCGCAAGTGGAACTTGATGGGAAGGCATGTGCAGCTGTTGGACAAAACTGTCTGATGGCTCTCTATGATACGTTGTTTAGTCAGGTGAATGCAGTGGTCATCTGTTAAATCTGTTCTCAAGCCCTGACTTGGACTTGATTGTTTAATTATTTGACTTCTTATGAGCACAACTGGATCAAAAGATATATGTGATTTCAAGTTATTGCCCTATTCAGTTTTCTTAGACTTGTTTGTTCTCTCTTGCAGTTGGATGTCTCATCAGCTCAGCTTCTTGTAACAGATAGTGATTTTAGGGATAGAGATTTTAGAAAGCAACTTAGTGACACCGTGAAATCATTGTTATCTCTTAAGGTTATTCCTATATTTAATGAAAACGATGCAGTCAGCACCAGGCGAGCTCCATATGAGGTATAAATTATAGTACTCTTCTCTGGCTTCCGTGTTTGTCACTTCATTGTGGGAATGATAAACACAAGCGTCCTATTATTTATCTCTAGTTGAAATGTGGAAACAGGAGGTGTGGCATTATTAGCTATTTATTTTTGGATCAATAAGGCCATATCAGAATTTAAAATATTGACAAGAATATGAAGGTCGTAGACTTCTATTTTATGCATATGGACAAAAGAGAACGGGAGAATAAAAAATTTATTACGAAGAAGGAAAAATATATATATTGGGACTACTTAGGAACGCAATATGTTTCCTATACTTTCTGATGCTTATTTTCCTTTTCTAAACATTAAGGAACTTAAAATGTTTTTATACATTATGTAGTCCCCTCATTCCACAATACATGTGACCGCCTGTGCAGGATTCTTCTGGAATATTTTGGGATAATGACAGTTTGGCAGCTCTACTGGCTTTGGAGCTAAAAGCTGATCTTCTTGTTCTTTTGAGTGATGTGGACGGTTTATACAGTGGGCCTCCAAGTGACCCACGTTCGAAGATTATCCATACATACATAAAGGAGAAGCATCAAAGTGAAATTACTTTTGGAGACAAATCTAGAGTGGGAAGAGGGGGCATGACTGCTAAAGTAAAAGCTGCTGTCAATGCAGCTTATGCTGGCATCCCTGTTGTTATCACCAGGTGTGTTTCAATACTTGGTTGTGTCATCAGGAGTGATAAACTATCCTATCATGTTTAATAAAATCCGCACTAAGTTTAAAAGAAAATTCAGTATCCAACTTGTGTACAATAATGGGGCGAGATGGTTTATAAAAAAAATATAATGGTAGTATTAGCTTCTGGTTAGTGAAAATTAATTGCGGGGTAAGGAAAGTGTGGTCCATTTCTTCTTAGAAGTTAGTGTCCCAAATATTCCAAATTTGTAAATCACATAGTAGTAGATTTGTAGTTCTTGATTTTAGTCTTCGTTGCATTCTGAGTCCAACATGCTGCCCCTAATTGTGTACTAATCTCTTTGCTGCGCCATTTTCAAGTGGGTATGCTCCTGGAAACCTCAGTAAAGTCCTTGAAGGACAACGTGTTGGTACCCTCTTCCATCAAGATGCACATTTTTGGTCTCCAGTTAAAGAAGTTGATGCAAGAGGGATGGCAGTTGCGGCCAGGGAAAGTTCAAGAAGGCTTCAGGTATGTTTGTTTGCATCATGTACAAAGTTTAATTTTGGCTGCGACTAAAACTACTTCTGCAGTTGTAGGCACTCTCTGTCCCCATAACTTTTTAGCAGCATAAGTAACTTGGTAACACTTTCTACAGGCCATGACTTCTGAAGAAAGGAAAAGAGTTCTTCTGGATGTAGCTGATGCCCTTGAAGCAAATGTAAGGTTGATCAATGTTGAAAATGAAGCTGATGTTTCTGCCGCACAAGAAGTGGGATATGAAAAATCCTTGATATCTCGGCTGGCTCTAAAGCCTGGGAAGGCAAGGGATCCAAATTTGGCTATGTTAGATAAATTTTAGTTACATTCATTTTCTATTATTATTACTTCTTACTATCATTTGGTTTCTGTTTGATTATGTTTTGTACAATGTTCTCACTGGACCCCGTGCGCCTTTGTTTCTCAAAACTGGTGTCCCCTTCAAACCTTTTTTCTGAATTCTGCTTGTTATACTTGGCAGATTAAAAGTCTGGCAAACTCTATCCGTGTGCTTGCAAACATGGAAGATCCAATTGGTCGTGTTTTGAAAAGAACTCAGGTAAGGGGAGGGGTTATAAGGATTACTACTTCTGGCTTTTGATATTTTGACACAACAATGCTCAAGACTCGAGTGTGGACAAAGATTTTATTTTTTTAAATAAAGAGAAAACGAATTCAAAGTATTAGCTCCACTATGATAACTGAGAAAAGTTATCTATTGTCAAATGGATTTTCCTGATCGCATGATGATGCTCCTGATGACCTGCATTTGCTTACAGCTTGCAGAAGGTCTCGTCTTAGAGAAAACATCAAGCCCATTGGGTGTTCTCCTGATTGTATTTGAGTCTCGTCCTGAAGCGCTAGTACAGGTAAACAGTGAGACTTTGCAATATCAAACTGCATGTGAGATGCAACTCTGTACATCTGTCTGCAACCTAACATCTGGGAAATCATATCTCACTTAAGAACCTTATTTAAGGACTCTGGGAGAGATTCTTTTTTGCTCATATTGAGTCTCTGACAATAGTTTTATACTGTGAGGATGATTTTTTTTTTTTATTTTTTTTTTTTATGATTTTGAATAGATAGCTTCATTAGCGATCCGAAGTGGGAATGGGCTTCTCTTAAAGGGTGGAAAAGAGGCTAAGAGATCAAATGCAATTTTACACAAGGTTAGTTTCTTTAAATCAGAATATGCAGAAAACTAATATTTGAATTTTCTTTTTAATTTTCCAATGAAATGCATCAAATTTTATTTAAACTATTTTTAACAAAAAATATGTAGATTATAACTGGAGCCATCCCAGATAGTGTTGGTGGAAAACTAATTGGACTTGTCACTTCAAGAGAGGAGATTCCAGATCTTCTTAAGGTGAGTAGAGCAGAGAACAATAACTGATTCCTTGGTCTACTTTCAGATTATAATTGATACTAAACACAAAAATATTTTCCAGCATGATGATGTGATTGATCTTGTGATCCCAAGGGGAAGCAATAAACTGGTTTCTCAAGTCAAGAATTTAACCAAGATTCCAGTTCTGGGGCATGCTGGTTAGATAAATTAAATTTTTTCTTGTATATAATTTGCAGTCTGTGCTCCATTTTTCCTATAGTATTGTTGTTTTTGAGAAGAAGATGAATGTGACTATTGTGGTAAAAAAAAAAATTGCATTGTTTGCTATGCAGATGGCATATGCCATGTATATATTGATAAGTCTGCTAATATGGATATGGCAAAGCGAATTGCTGTGGATGCAAAAGTAGATTATCCAGCAGCCTGTAACGCAATGGTAATTTATCTGTTATGTACAATTTCTGGATAATAATATATTTTGATGCATCCTAAAAGTTTTCCAGTTTAAAATTTGAAATTACATTCTAATTGTGTGTTTATTATTCTCAGGAAACACTTCTTGTCCATAAGGATTTAAAGGATACAACTGAGTTCAATGATCTTGTGGTTGACCTTCGCGCTGAAGGTACAATTTTCATGCAGACAACCGTTTCCTTGTAAACTATGAGCTCTCATTTAGTTACTCTTGGATGACAACAAAAATAAAATAAAATTCAATCCTAGTTTGTCATTCTGGTCTAGTAATCCAAAATCACGCAGTAGTTCCAATTTTTTAAGTTACATGAGGTAGTTCCAATTCAGTTCCTTTTGAACAGTTGGATTTTGTTCTTCCGAGTTCTAACATTCATTGACTAAATAACCATTTTATGGAAAGCACTTGGTGATTGAGGATGAGAGTAACTAAATTTTCCAATCACCACAGGCATGCAACAGAACAATATTATGTTTGTTTCTCTTCCATTATTTAAAACTTGGAGAACTTTTAAGGAGCAAGAAAAATTCTTACAGTGAAACATGCCATCAGAAGTATCTAAAGAAATTCAACCCATGATATATCATTTTCAGGTGTTACTTTATATGGTGGACCAAGGGCAAGCTCCTTGCTCAATATTCCACAAGCGCATTCATTCCATCATGAGTACAGTTCAATGTCCTGCACTGTTGAGTTTGTGGATGATGTGCATGCAGCCATTGATCATATACATGAACATGGAAGGTACGTTAGAGTTCCATATCACATGAAATGCATTTCAATGACTTGTATGAAGCTGTGTCATTTATTTGTTCCTTTCCTCTGTTTGGCAGTGCACATACTGATTGCGTTATCGCAGAAGACCTAGAAGTTGTAGATGCCTTTTTAGGTCAAGTTGACAGGTAAGAATGCTTCATTCCCGTCTTGTTTCCAGAAGATCTGTGCAATCTTATTCAGTGCTATCATACTAGTTTAATTCTCCACGTCAATCAGAATATTTCCATAAGAGGAGACAATTACATAGAGTTAGGCCGACCAAAATGGGGACTTTAAAGCCTTTTCGGCATGAAGTGACTGCTCATAAGAATTAAACCAAGCTCTTGCAGTTTAGCAACCAAGTTTCTTCATTGCACAGAAGAATGCCCCGAGGTTTTCCTTGTTTAACAGTAAATGTTTGATTGTTCTATGTGTACGCAGTGCTGCTGTTTTTCACAATGCAAGCCCAAGATTTTGCGATGGTGCTCGATTTGGACTTGGCGCAGAGGTATACTACCATCTAGGAATGATTTTATTAAGATTAGTGACATGCTGATATGTAAATTCTTTAGTCTTGTATTTAATTCTCTTCTTTTACCCAACAGGTTGGGATAAGCACGAGTCGAATTCATGCTCGGGGCCCTGTAGGAGTAGAAGGATTGTTAACAACAAGATGGTATGAAACCTCAATTTTTGTTAGTCTTGTTGAAATTGAGAAAACCTCAATTCATCTTCATTTTACATTGAGCTTTCCTATTGTTATATCGCAACTTTATTGGACGTGCAGGATTCTCAGAGGAAATGGACAAGTTGTGGACGGTGATAAGGGGGTTATTTACACCCACAAGGACCTCCCAATTGAGCCCTAAATTTGCCAACAATCATGACCACCCATCTCTACCCATTCCCAGGTGCCAGGTGGTCACTGTTAAGAGAGAGAGAGAGAGGAGAGAATAAAATATGTTGTATTGGCTATTGGCCTGATGCTATATGTTATCTTCTTAGGTATGATTTGTAGATTATTACTCGCTTAAGTTTTTAGCAAATTGATAACCGATCTGAGTGAAACCATTTCTTTACTCAACTCAATTCTGATCTCCTCGCTTACGCGATTCCTCAAGTTTTAAGAATAGTAAACATAAATAAGTAAGAATTGCACGAGGAGTGTATGATGATTTTTTTGGAGTGTCAAAAGGTAGTTTTTGAAAATATGAAGGCATATGTGGAAAATTTCCAATACGTACCTACACACAATATCTGCTCGTAACACAACTATCTCATTATCAGCCGAAAGTGGAATGACGAAACTTTGAGATCAGCTAAAAGTTATTGACACGATTCTAGTAACTAACGGCCAGGTTTCCACTATGAATTAGCTTTTCAACTCAAGTCTTCTTTTCTTGCCAACATGAACAATGTAGAAAGTAAGTTTGTTAGCAATAGAAAACTCAGAAGTCTGGAAAATGCTACCACAAAGAAATGGTATAATAATAAAGGGCACAATAAATTGCCTAAATGGTTATTTTCATATTAAAAGCAACTGTTGTTGCATAATAGCCTTCCAACAAACTCACATCCCTCAAGGTTTCAATGAACTACATTATCCTCTACTTTTAATCATATAATTTGAACTTATAGCAATAGGAGTTCCCAAAATGCAAGCTAAACCATGTTCCCGAATCTCTTCTACCAAACAATATCTCAGGTAAAAGTTTATGCTGCAACGAACTGCTTCAGTTTCTGCAACCAATTCGCATATTCTCTGGTGTCTTTGTTGATCATGTACTCATGCAAGAAATTGGTTGTGCTGGGCTTGATTCCTCTAATCTCCAAATACTTGTGGAATGCCTTCTGAAGGTTCTCATCCAAATCACTGCAAATGGAGCAGACATTTGTGTGTCAATTAGAGAAGACTATATAAACAATAATCTTGAATTAATGCTCAACAACTACAAGTAATCGAGGCTTACTGGAAGTCAGGCCCCTCATAGGCAATCTGATCCTCAGAATTCTCTGGATTTTTCACTGCCAAGCTGTCAATTTCAATCTCATCAGCAAAAGCAGTGCAGCTAAACTCAAGAGAAGGTCCATCACTCTTGGAAACAGTTACGAGAAACGGGAGGCTGGACTTATTAGCACTTCCATCCTCATCATCACCATCCTGGTCACCGTCGTTTTCTTCATCACCAGTAACTAGATCAGGCATGTGAACTTCAACTACTATGTTTTCACCCTGATATGTTCTTTTCAGTGTCACTATTTGGGCTCCGGGAGTATCTTCAATTTGAAAAGGGAAGCCACTTGGAATCTCTTCAGCCTACAAAACGAGAACTCGGGTAGTGATAATTATGGCGATATTTTAACATTAATGAATCACATAATTCAAATAGTTGGAAGCATCACAAAACAGGAAATTTACAAGTACCAAATTATACACACAATCATTCAAAATCATACACACCCACACACAGAAACATATATTACACTAACAACTTAAATTCATATAGTTCTTTAACAAGTAGTAAGCTTTCCCAAAAATCTAGCCAAAGAGGCAACTCAAAACCAAGTTAATGAACAGAGAGCCACAAACCCATGATCAGCATCAGTAGTCTGGGATCTATTGCAAAAGAATTTGTAAAATTGACCAAATATGACAAATTTAATTCTAACTCAAGGGCTCGTACAATCTCTGCATGTTGGAGTTTATTAACCATTTCCAAACACAATTATTCGAATGGGGAGGGTTTTTCATTTTCTACGGAACCAAATACAAGGTAACTTTAAGATCATGTTCTAGCCCATTTCCCTAAATTTTCTCAGAAATCAAACAGTCCAAAAAAGTAAGAGACAACAAGAAAATGTCACCTTGTCAAGATCATCGGTCTCCTCAGCGCACTTTATCTCTGCATCGATAACCTTGAGAAGAGACTGGTCCGAACTGTGGCTGGAATAATAGCGAGGGGTCGGAACAAAAGGGGTCAGAGTGGACTTGTAGGAGTGATTGACGTGGTTTATGGCGTTGACGAGAGCACCATGGTAAGATCGATTGCCCCGAGCGAGTCGGCTGGCCAATGGAGCCAAAGAGGAGGCCGATCTGCGAAGAATTGAAGTGAAAGCCATTTTCTTTGGAGTTGCTGCAGAAAACAGAGTGAAGGGTTTAGGGTTTTAGAGACGAGCAAGCGCGGGTTTGCGCTTTTAAGTTGTATTGAGGGTTTTAGGGTTGAAAGGGCGTTGAAGTCAGTAACTTTATACTGAAAGTTGGTTCTCTACGCCACATATACGTGGGATTTTTGTATTAGTTTTTAGCTCAAGTTGTTATAAAGAAAAAGGGAGAGCCTTGTAGAACTTTGTCGACCTATTGGGCTGGTCTCAAATATTGCTCCTTTCGTTTTTCATGTTGAGGCCCAAATGAAAAAGAAAAGCAACAAAACTATTTTATATTAATTCCATGAGATATATAAAGAACCAGTCTCAGTCTTCATCAGAGAAGAGAGCATTCTCATGTCAAAGATCTTTGTCTTCTTAAACTCTATCTGAACTGTAACTGTTAGGATCCCACATTTTAAGCCCCTTCCTTTGAAAAAGTTGAGTTTTTTAGCTTTTATGTTATCTGTTGCATTAATGGTGGAATATTATGAATGCTAGGGCTCATCTGTAGACCCAGAAACTCAGAAAGGGTCCTTTGAGCTAGAGAGAGTTATAGAGAGGGAAGGGATGAAGGAGGTCTTTGGGAGTCCAGGAAAGGTGAGTGGGCTGGCACTGAGAATTGGGCAGTGCTCTTTTGCTGCTGCTTCTATTGGAGTGATGGTCTCTGCCCATGGCTTCTTCAACTCCACTGCATTTTTATATTATTTGCCCTTCTTAATCAGTTTTTTTTTATTTTGCTTTTTTTTCCATGGTTTTTCTGGGTTTCATCTCTCGTCCTTTTTTAGAGGTCTTGGGGGAAGGGTTATTTATTCTGAGCTTACTTAATCTCATGGGGATCTTTCCCGTGGGTATGTTAAAATGCTTAAGGTTTTCCTCAGGGATTTCAGATGAGTGAATTTGTAGCAAATTTCACTTAAATACAACTCTCCAATACTAGAAAGAATGGATTTATCAAAGAAAAAAAATTGTGGGCCGATTCCCTTATTCTGTTTCACCAACTACATAGAAAATAAGGCGGGGGAACAAGAGAATGAAAATAGAACGAAGGTATATAATTTTTCCATATCAGGTTAGGTAGATGAGTGGGTTGTCTGGTGAGTCTAGGAATATTGGCCATAACTGGACACCTTTAAGATTAAACAGCATCTGTAATACACCCCTCTAGCAGTTAGCAGGATTGTTTATGTTTATAAGTCTCTCGGTATCTTTTGAAATGTGTGTTTAATGGTTGCAACTTCCAACTTGCAACCAAGGTTGGGTTTTAAATTGGTAAAGGCAGATTTCATGTTATAGCCCTGAGCGTTGATTTTTCCCTTACCATTCACTTACTAATATATGCTTGAAATGGTAGTTCTGGAGTTCTTCTGTGGTTGATCTTGACCTTCATTTAATTCGTCAGTACCCATCTGTTGATCTCTGAGCTTAAATCTGTACATTTTAAAGAAAAGATAAGGTTCCTGGCAATCTCCTATTAAATTTATGCCTTTCACTGTCCACACAGGAATCTAAATTCAGTACACCGATCGGCCTTCTTTAGTTCCCAGAACCCAAACGTAATAAGACATCTTTACATGATGCCAATGGTGAATTCAAGTTAGAATTATGTTGCAGTATCCCTACAAGGTCATCCAAATAATCTCTTCCTGGTGGAGGATAGGTTATTGTCATCCCCAACAAGTCATTACTATTGTTTTCTGGGTAGGGAATGATTTTCTTGTTATTTCCCTTGGAAAATTGGTTTCAGGTCTCCCACTTCCAGAGGGGTTTAACAAGTTTCTTGATAAATTGTGACCATGGGAACTCTCTTGTAGTTTTCATGTCATAATGTATGTGTTTACTTGATTATCCCACTTGATTTTCAGTTCATAAAGCCTTTCCTTGTTCAGTTTCTATATGTGTTTTGATAAGTAATATTTTCCCAACTTCATTTCTTTATGTATTTGTCTGCATAGAACTTGGAGAGTATTAACTGGGACCCTAACTACTAAGGTGCAGAAAGTCACTCGCCTTTGCATGTGTATTCCACTACTATGTGCATTGGTGCAGGCTTGTTTTAGGACTTATAATCTGCTAATTAATTGGCCGCTGCTCCTATAATGCATAAGATTGTTCTTTTTGTCCTAGTTTTTCAGTAAATGGTCCAACAAGTCTACCTGCTTCTAGGTTGGATAGTTGTATAATTCTTTACTGCATTTGTTGGATCCAGCTATTTAATTGCATCAATGGGGCTTCAAGTTCTTTGGAGTTTGGGACTTGCTTGCCTTGATTTGCATGCTTTGAGGTCAAAGAGAAGCTTGCAGAATCCTGTTTTAGTGAGCCTATTTGTTGTTGGGGATTGGGTAAGTTTCTGGACTTATTCAGCCATTGTTTGTTGCATTTAGTTTTTGGAAATAATGAAGCTTCTCCGAGGATCCTTTGCTACTCTTAACACTACTACAGTACGTAATGTTTGCTAAAATTATCTGGAAGAAGCATCAATGTCACTGTGAGGATGTTTTGATATGAAAATTGACACAGCATAATTTTGATTCTTAATACTCGGGGTCTGATGCATGAATGCCAAATTTTCCATTCAGCCAATATGGAGCCATTTTTAAGGTTTTATTGTGCTTTAATTCTGCTTTGTTTTATCTAGAAGTTGCAAACAGACTAAACAAAAGCAAAACACCTGGTCCCTTATGTATGCATGCACCAATCGAACAGTTTAATGATAGTTCTCCAATTGTTGTAGATAAAATTATGTTCTAGAGGCAGAAGTGGAGTTTAATTCTTGTAACTATCGCGCTACTAGACAGATTGTTTACTTCGAATTTTGATTCTTCTGAGGGCTGGGGGTAAAAACACCAAGCAACTTCTTAATGTGTATTCTTCTGCAGGTGACAGCTATTCTGTCGTTGGCCGCTGCATGCTCATCAGCTGGAGTGACAGTTCTGTATTCGAGAGATTTGAATTACTGCGGGCCACCGGCACATCTTCCATGCAGCAGGTTCCAAATTGCTGTTGCATTCGCGTTTATCTCATGGTTCCTCCTTGCTGTTTCGTCCATTGTCATGTTTTGGTTGCTAGGTGCGGTATGAGTGACAACTTACACCACCATCACAGCAAACTACATTATTCTTCAATTTTCCCCTGTAAATATCATGTTACACTTCAAAACAAATCAGTTTTGTTGAGAACACCTCACAACTATTTTTTCCTGTTGTCTTCTGGGTCCATAGATCTCTAATCAAAGTGGGTTTGGTATGAAGATTGTAATCATTTGCCCTCCATTATTGGCTCTCTTCTTCACTTTATTTTATTTTACTTGCCCGAAATTGTCAGAGTAAAGGTGTCATTTCACATGGTAGACCACGCATGCTTTTCCTTTTTCTTTGGTTTAAAATTCCCAATCTGTCCTTGTTTTTTTCACCAAGGAATTCCATATTCTTTAATGATACATAATCAATTCAAAAGGCTTGATTGATTAGGATGGCTAGACTGCTCACGCCACAGATAAAATGTAAGATAATAATGAGAACACCTAACATCGTTTGTTTGGTTCCCAAATGGCCAAATTTTCTGCTCATGTCACTCAGTAATGGCATTGTCTTGTGGTCCATACTCCATTCCATGATTTAAGAAATACGACTTACGATATTCTCTCACTAGAGAAGGACGTAATAGCTTATTAATTCATTCATTTTAGCTTTCCTGAAAGGTGGTTTTGAATCCGCATGTCTTTTTCATGCACCAAAGGTCTTGTTCGATCGATCGACTCCAACTATGAAAGATTTCAGTTTTGCAAGTTTTGGGGCAGCCAATAAAAATAAATTTACACGTAATCTCTGCTGCCGACACTGGATTATGGAATCATCTCTCAGATAACAGTTCAGATACCAACACTGGAAGCAAAGTGCCCACCACCGCTATCATAAATTAAAAAAATATCCAACATCCCTAATTTAAAAATGCAAAAAATATATATTCATTAAAAAAAATTCAACCTTGATAAGTTACACAGCCAGAATCCAGAGAAGCCGACTGATAATTTATTCCTATATACACTAAAGCATACACAAGTTCTCACAACAATTTAGTCATGGAGGACACTGACTGACCCAAAACTTCAAGTTCAAGAACATCAAATGGAAGGAGCAGCAGAACCTTTGCACTGTGTAAAAGAACAGGGATAAGGGGAAAAATAATAACAAATACATATCAAACAAATAAACTTACTATCCTCCCTAGACGCATTCTGTTGTGTGTAATTTGAACATAAGCAACAGCGCACACCCTACATTACAATTTCTGGCTTCAAAATGCTCGACTTGATTTCTTTGTGGGGCAAAACCACACCTCCATTACTGTAAATTTCATCGCTTACATGAACATCTTCTCCGAGGATAGTCATGTTCTCTACACGAGCCCATTGTCCAACTGTGGAGTGCCATCCGATGATACTGCCGGAAATGCAAGCATGCTTCTTGATCCGGACTCCACGCATTACTGTACAGCGAGATAGCCTAACTCCTGACTCAACAACACAACCCGGACCAATTGCAACATCTGGTCCAATCAGGCACCCCTCTCCAATTTTGGCAGTCTCATCCACCAGAACATTTCCCACAACATTGGAACCTCTGGCCAACTTAGATGAAGAGTTCTTCCTCAATGAGTCCAAGTAGAGTCTCAGGCCTGTAATATAATCCCTTGGTTGCCCAATGTCCATCCAAAACCCTGGAAGGACCATTGCGAAGAGCTTATTCTCTGCTGCAATATTTGGGAATACCTCTTTCTCAATTGAAGTTGGTCTCAGCTCAATTCGATCAAGAACTGAGGGGTTCAACAGGTATATTCCAGCATTGATTTTGTTACCAACAAACAGTTTTGGTTTCTCTACAAATTTCTGAACTTTCCCTGTAGATTCTTCCATAACCACCACTCCATATTTCGATGGCTCATCCACCTACATGAAACAAAGAAAATATTTTCAGCGACATCCAGCTCTAAAAAATGCCTCCAAGGAAGATGAGTGCAAAGTATCAGGTAGAATTACAACTTCATGTTACCTTGGTCACCATTATGGAAGCTTCTCCCCCATGGGATTTATGGAATTCGATCATTTTCTTAAATGGGTATTCACTGATAACATCACTGTTAAGGACAAAGAAGGGCTCGCCAGAATCATCTATCAGTTTGTCTCTAGCAAGAGCCAGAGGTCCAGCAGTGCCAAGGGGCTCAGTCTCTTGTGAGCATGTGATCTTGATGCCAACCTTTGTCTCAAACTCCTTCAGGAAAGTCATCATCACCTGCAGAAATGATAATGTGCATAAGCAGTCAAAGAAACTTCAGTGGCATGATCTCTGAGTATAAAATTGAACTTTTCACAAAATAATGGCCTCATTTACCTCTGGTTGGTAATTGATCGCCAGAACCACTTCGCTAACACCAATTGCCTTAAGAGCCTCTATCTGGAAAACAAAAAACAAAAATGTATCCATTTACAATTTACAAATTTATGCACACAAGCGTGCAGTGGGGATTTGGGTTGGTAAGGGGAGGACACAAACTAAAGAATCATAAGAGCATGGATTAGTCACATTATAAGATCTATATGGATGCTTGTACCTGATGCAGGATCATGGGTTTGTTTGCAAATTCAACAAGCGGCTTAGGGACACTGAGTGTCAATGGCCGCAAACGTGTTCCAAAACCTCCAACAAGAATGAGTGCCTTCATTTTGATATGCCCTTTGCTTTCCCTGATATCAATGCATTCAGAATTTTACAGGCAGCTTGAACACAAGAACACAACCTAACATCGAGATTCAAATAATTACGCATCCACTAAAATATCTAAAAGTGAAAGCCAAAAAAAAGATGCACAACTATGGTTTAACTCATAACTGAAGGGAATTGACCCATTTAATCACCAAAAGGATTTGCTTTTCTGGTTTCCCACATTGGTAAAACCAAATAGCTCTAAATTTCAGCGACCGACAAAACTAAAAAGCAGAAATTTCATACCAACACGATTTCACAAGCAACTCTCATACCATACCAAATTAACTTGCACCTATTCTCAAGTTAAATTCTTTAATTTGGAAAATTCCAAAAACAAAACAAAACAAAGGAGAAAAGACATAACCGGAAACAACTCAAACCAAACAAAGTTTAATCTTTACTAAGTGGGGCTGACCATAGCAAGGAAAATGTTAACCCAAACAAACAAATCACAGAAACTCTACCAGATCTGACATTTTATATAAAATTAAAATTACTCCATGTAGCTCTTGGATAACGAATTGAAAACAAAAATAAAAATAAAATTCCCAAACAAATCCTCAAAAATATTAACAATGTGAATTGAAAGAAATCATAGCAATGAGGTTTTGAAACAATCAACCAATACACATTGCCAAATTCAGCTGACCGCAAACACACGGATCCGACAGAGAAAATGTCAAAAGGTTTTATCAACGCTCAAGAACGAAAGCTAACAGGAGTCAATTATTACCTCGGATCTCAGCAGATCAAAACCCGAACAGAGCCCGGAGGTTGAGCTCGGACTCGGACGAGTGGGAACCGGGTCGAAAGCGGTGAAGAGCGAGTTTTGGGCGAGTGGCGTTCACCCTAACGGTTTTTATCCGTCAGGGTCTGAGCTGTGCAAAGGCGTTGTTGTTGGTTATGGAAAATCTCCCGTCGGATTTATATATATACATACACACGCGGGTACGCGGGATTATTATTAACGAACGTGGTTTTCTGGCGGATTTCAAATTAGAACTTTTATTGGAAATTTCCCTTCAGATAAAAGTGGGTCACGTCCGCTTGGCCGGTGTAGCTTCGGGGCAATTTCGTCTTTCGTCTGCTTCATATTGTGGATAAATTTGTACTGTAAAGTATAATAATTGTTTTATTTTTTGTGGGCGAAAAATATGGATTCTTTTATGAGATAATAATTGGCTGTAGTGTGAATGGTGATTTCTTTTTGTGCTCAAAATGGAAAACTGTTAATTGTGATTCATAATTTGTTGCAGACACTGGGCCAATCAGCATGCAGGAATGACGACGATATGAGTCCCAATCAACCAACACTGAAACAAATTCTGTATTTTTTTTTCTTTCTCTTTATATATATGCCGAAGTTCTCTTATACAAACATTCGGACGTTATTATCATGCGGACACCATGTATTTTATATTATCCCTCTATATTTCTCTATCTGTTTACAATATCTGCACAACAATAACTTACAGTAAATAGAATAATTCATTTGCCAAAAGTAGTTAAAGAAGGGTTCGAATGAGGACACATTCTTTTTCCAATCAATCTCTCTCGTTGGAATTTCTTTCAAAATTGTTACCTTTTTTATGTAATGACGTGGAACTTCACTAACCATCTAAAAATTGGAGAAATAAAATTTTGAGATATTAGTAAGCATCTTTCTTGTTGGAAGTATCGTTGATCCCATTGATAACGAGTGGGACCAAATAATTCAATCGGGGTGAGATATGCCTTTCCTTATCGATGGAGATAAGATGTGAACTCTCTTTTTCTTTTATATCATTTTTTAAACTCCCTTTAGAATTAGAATTGTGTTTTGAAAATTTATCTTAAATAATGATTTTTTTTTATTTACAAATTTGACCTTAAACACCTATCACATATAGATATATGGGTTTCATTTTACAAACAAATAATAATAATAATATTACATAAAAAATAAAAATGGAGGTAGTGTAAAAAAAAAAAAAAAAAAAAAAAAAAAAAAAATAACAACAATAATATAACATTACAAGATTCACACTATTTATTTTATTTATTTTTAGAAAAAAAACCATATTTTATATGAAGTTGCAAGTTGAGGCCAGATCTGCCAACAGAGCAACAAAGCATATTCCACATGAGATACATATGGATAATGCTTTTAATGCAAAGGTCCACATAAATAAAGTGTGTAGGTAAACCCCAAATCAAGGCCAAGTATATAAATAAATAAATACAAATTCCAGCTAATTTCAGCCTTTAAACTTTGCTTGCCTCTCAAATAATTGTAATCATTAATATGCATCAAAACAAACCTCAATGAGAAATTCAACCACAGAGCGTGGTTCAAACTAAAACAAAATTAAATTAAATTAAATTATTGTGATTTAATGTTAAATTAGATTAAACCAGTTGGGTTCTGCAAAATTGAAGGATTAAATTTTCTTTTGGCCGTCTTCATACAAATGACCTAATAGTTAGTATTATTGGTTGACCTTTTGGTGTTGGATCCCTTTAACAAAATAGCACGTCATCTACATCTACATTATTATTTGGTTAAGCTCCACTTCTAAGCATTGGCATTGCGGCCAGTGGCCTGCCTAAAGTTGCAACCTTTGCCTTTTTTAGTGTTATTGAACCAAACCAAATGGGCATGTATGTGAAGTCTCCAATTGAAGTAACAATTTGGCCTTTGCCAATGTTTGTCAAAAGAAGGTATGCTTGTGGGTCAAATGGTGGCAACCCATTATTCTTCTAATTAAGGCTAAGCTATAGCTTCAGAGTTTGTCAATGAGGTTGCATTAAGTATAAAATCACGACTTGATGTCAGTTGTATATGAGCACATGAAGCTAGCACAATTATTGATCGTTGATCATAATTAATGATTTTACTAAATTCACTTGTCCGCCCATGTACGGCGTTGATGCTAGCATAATCCATAAAAATCATGTGTCATAATTCCTTTGATGTCCTCCTTGAATACATGTGTAATGATCACTTTAAGTACAATCAATGTCTAGTTAAAATGGTGAGGACAACACATATATTCTGCGGGCTCCTGTTGTATACTTTGATGTATATTTTGGCAAAAGGAGAAAACCAGGTGTGTATGAATCTGGTCTTATTTGGGCAAAGTATACGTGGGTCAAGACTTTTAGGCTTTACTTCATATCGTTACCAACTTTCTTAGCTATCAAAATATATAGACGAGACAAGCTACCATATTTTTGGTTCAAAAAAATTTAGGGGAGGTTGGCTACTCTCACCACTAGCGTCAAATTAGACCTACAATCTCGAGCCGGAAGAACTTACACGTGGCACCCAATTTTCAGTGATTTTACCAACTAAACCAACCGTTGTCAGAGTGACAAGCTACCATTTTTAGTATAAGGTTGGAATAATTAAGAAGTGTATGATATTAATAAGATGAGATTAGAAGAATAATAAAAATTGAGAAATTAATTAGATGGAACAAGTTTTTTATTTATTTAATTTTTGGGAAAATGGGGTCAAATTTGAGAAAAAAGTTGGTCAAATCAAAGCCTTTTAGGCTTCACTTCCTCTCATTACCTACTTCAGATCAGAAGGATCAAAACTAAGACCAGCTACCTCTCTGACCAGAATGAGAATTTACATTTTGACCCAAAAATAGAAAGAAGGAGAATTGACATATTTTCAAGCTGATAATTTAACCCATTACAAACTCAAATGGTACGGTCATGATGACTCATGCCATCTTTCACAATTTAAAAAGACAGAAAAAACAAACACCCTTAATCATAAAGGACCTTTAAACAAACACCTTTAATCATAAAGGACCTTTTTCTTCATTTTTTCATTTGAAGACAAGAAATCACAAGGGAAGCCCAGGGCCCATGCCTATCTCATTTCGCCAAATCGGCTTCTTCTTTTTTTCTTTTTCTATAAAAACTTTCTGAATTGATTTCATGGTTTTGCACCAAAAGAAGAGAAACCCAACGACACCAAAAAAAATAAATAAATAAATCTTCAAGGCCATAAGCCCATCTACAAAACTCGATTACCCAAATTTAGCCCACCAAAGTATCCCATAGTTTCAAAAGTTTATTTGTTTATAGACCCTACAGCAAACTGAAACAAAACAAGAAGCTAAATCTCTACAGCCTTGGCTGTGGCAATGCTTGCAATGTACACAATCTCCTCAACAACTTCTTTCATGGAAGGCCGGTTCTGTCGGCGTTCCTCCAAGCAACCCAATGCCAGGAACCCCAATGCCTTCATGGTGTCCAGCTCCAAAGTCTTGGCTCCCTCTTTCAGCACAGGATCAATCACATCCATTAACCTCTCCTCTGCCATCATCCTCTGCGTGTAAACTGCCAGGTTTACATCATCCGCTTCCCTGGTGAAGTCTATAGCTTTCTGAGATGTCAAAAGCTCCAACAGCACAACTCCAAAGCTATAAACATCGCTTTTGTCTGTCAATTGATAGTTCCTGTAATATTCAGGATCAAGATATCCAAGTGTTCCTTGTGCACATGTTGATATATGGCTTAAATCGGTTTCAGCCAAGCGAGATAACCCGAAATCGGCAACCTTGGCATTCAGCTTCTCATCCAGCAGAATATTGCTAGACTTAACGTCACGGTGATATATTGGAGGAACTGCTGAGAAATGTAGATAGGCAAGACCCTCGGCAGTGTCATGAGCAATTTCTAGACGCTGTGTCCAAGACAGATGTTTCCAGCCACCGGCTTTTCGAGCTTGCAAATGTTCCAGAAGAGTTCCATTCTCAATGTACTCGTAGACCATAATTGGCTGCTCTAGCTCAACGCAACAACCAAGTAGGTGAACAAGGCTCTTGTGGTTAACTTGGCACAGAATCCGGACCTCATTGAGGACTTGGTCAGTGCCTTTGGTGTTTCCAAGCTTGGCAATCTTGACAGCCACCACAGTGCCATCTTCAAGAAATCCTTTGTAGACTTCACCGTAGC